AAGTGGGTTGTCATTGGTGACCACAACTATGGCGAGGGTTCTTCCCGTGAGCACGCTGCGCTCGAGCCGCGCTTCCTCGGTGGTCTCGCTGTCATCACCCGCTCGTTCGCCCGTATCCACGAGACGAACTTGAAGAAGCAGGGCATGCTTGCGCTCACCTTCGCCGACGCCGCCGACTACGACAAGATCCGCCCCGACGACCGTGTCACTATCCTCGGCCTCGAGAACTTCGCACCCGGCAAGAACCTCACGCTCCGCGTGAAGCACGCTGACGGTGCTGAGGAGGACATTGAGCTCGCGCACTCGTTCAACGAGGGTCAGATCGAGTGGTTCAAGGCCGGGTCGGCCCTGAACTTGATGGCCGCAAAGGCGAAGGGCAAGAACTAAGCTTTCAGCTCTGTTTGCTTTCCGTTCGTCGTTGTCCTGCTGCTTTCTGGTTTTCTGGTCGAGTCTGAGTCTGTCGATACCGCACGTCGCTTGTTACTACCCTCTCCTCAAAGGCGCCCACCATCGGCGCACGCATCCGATTCCCCACGCACGCTCACTCGTCTGCCTCGTTCTACTACTCTTACTATTCCGGCTCTGTCCTGTTGTTTATGCGCGCGCAATGCTATGTACTCTAACTCCGGACGCTTCGCGATGTGTGAGTGTGAGACGAGGCAAGTGTAAGCTGTATATAATACCGCGAGGTGCATGAATAGTCCAAGAATAAAATCCACTGCCGTTGCGAGTTGTCTGCGAGAGATGCTGCGTAAGGTTTCGAGCGCAAACACGTTCGTGATGGCAAGACGCTCCTCTGACCCCGACGGCCATGATCCATGATGTTTCTAGATCTACGGAGACCTTGCGGAGAACGCCACCTTTTTTCCATCTCGTGCAGATAGCGATCGGACGGCTCGCCGATGGTGTAAACTCTTCCGTCCAGCACGTACATACACCGGCGGCATGCACGCTGCACGCCGCTGCTTGACTCGAAACTTTCATCGCTCGGATTCGGCTGGCTAGGCATGTCTGTCAAGGTAGCAGAGCCTTACTCTTATGAGCTCGAGTCTCTACCCAGGGTCGAGCCGGGAACTTCGACAAACCCGACGACCGCAGCTCCCAGTCGCGTCGCGTCGACCGATGCGCTCGATGGCGAGCAGCAGCGCGAAGAAGATGCTGTAGCTCTGCCGCCGGTGGATGGAGGCATACAGGCTTGGACCTTCGTAGTCTGCGCGCTGCTCCTGGAGGCGCTTGTATGGGGCTTTCCGTTCTCGTGAGTGGCGCAAGTTTCCGGGCTGTACGCAAGCAATATTCGGGCACTCATGCTATGCAACAGCTATGGTGTCTTCCAGGAATGGTATCTCTCCTCGCCAGACTCTCCCTTCCGTGGCGCGAGCGAGTCAGCTATCAATGCGATCGGCACAATCACGCTCGGGATACAGTACATGGAGAGTTTGGGCGTCATGTTCTTCACTCAGAGGTACCCGCAGTGGACAAAGCCGATGATGATCGCCAGTTTGATCACCTGTGTTGGCGCGTTGACTTTGTCGAGTTTCGCCACGCAAGTATGGCATCTCATCGCGCTGCAAGGTGTCGTGTACGGTGTCGCAGGAGGCGCTCTGTACATGCCCGTTATCCGCTGGGTGCGCACACTCGATATCAGTATGTATACATATTTCTGATCGTGATGTAGATGTCCGAATGGTTTGTCGACGTACGTTTTCCCACTGCAGGCGTTCCATACCCTTCCTAATTCCGTGCTATATAGCGGCGCTCATTTGCAGCCAGCTTTATCTTTGGAGGAAGCGGTCTTGGCGGCGCCGGGTTCCCCATCCTGGCCAATGCTCTGCTTCAGAGTGTTGGCTTTCGCTGGACATTGCGAACTATGGCAGTCATCGTAGGCGTATTCGGTGGCATTGCCCTCATTGGCGCGAAGCCGCGCCTGCCTATTGCTCGCCATACCACGCCTGCACCTCTGGACTTCTCATTCGTGACGTCGCCCGTATTCGTCTTCGTGGTAAGCATATGATGTGTCTGGACCAAGACATGTGCTCATTGTACCATCAAAGGCTGTCACAGTCTTCGTGCAAGGGCTTTCGTACTTCCCCGTGTCTCTCTACATCCCATCATACGCAGCTTCTCTCGGCTTCTCGAGCTTGAACGGCACTCTGGCTCTCGCGGCCTTCAACCTTGCCTCCGTGGTGGGACAGGTCCTGTTCGGCTACTACTGTGATAGGGGTCCGTACACAACCGCCATGATCGTCTCTTCAATCCTCTCGGCGATCTTCGCGTTCGTGCTGTGGGGCTTTTCCCACTCGGCCGTCTTGATGTATGTGTTTGCTGTGCTCTTCGGTGGTATTGTACGTGACAACGATTTGTTGGAGTCGTTGCCATGGGCTAATATCTGTCTGCAGAGTGGTGGTTTCAGCTCTGTCTGGCCGCCTGCTGCCGCAGACATCTTCAGTGAGATTCATTGCGCCTGTCTAATAAAGCGCTTCTCTGACTCTGACCCAGGTGCTCAAGCGACGTCGCCTTTCCTGATGTTCTCGACGGCGAAAGGCCTCGCAGCGATCACTGGCCCTTTCATTGCAGCTGCTCTGCACCCGAAAAGCGCGTCGAATGACCATGAAGCCGGATCCGGTGGGTGGTCAGGCTACGGGTTTACAGGTACGCATACATTCTTCTTGCATCAGGAAGTGCCCCAGTTAACATGGTTGTGCAGCAATGACAATCTTCGTGGGGAGCGGCATGATAGCATCCGCCGTGTTGTCCGGTACCGTGTTGGCACTCCGGAAGAAGGGCAGGAAATCGGAGTAAATGTGCAATGTATAGAGCGACGTAGACCATCATAGACTCCGAATGAAGCTCCCACTACTATATGGTCCTTATCACATACTCAGGAGTATTGAACGCGAGGCGCCCCGAGTATAGTACTCATCGCCGTTCAGTTTGTGGTGTGAACAACGACGGCATTCACCGCAGCGCGCCTGCGCGCCTGCGCGGTGCCGCGTTCCGTGAGTGAGGGCGCGTGGTGAATTGACCATTCACAAAATGCCACTCTCGTCCTACCTCCATGAGGCTTTCATTACGATGTGCACCAATACGATCGAGTCCCCGTTCATACTTACGGGCTAAGGCTATCTTGCTTCGAAAATTTCGTGCACATTTATGTAAGTCGGCCGAAATGCTGATGGTGTAAACTGCGGTAGTAATGAGCACACCCACTTGCGGAGTGCGGCGTGTACCCCGCGCGCTGTTTGACTCAGACAATCACTGCTCAATAGCCTGACGACCATGTCCGTTAAGCTGGCAGTGGTCACGGAGCCCTCCTCATACGAGCTCGAGCCTCTTCCGAGTGATGCTGGGATCTCGACGATTCCGACAACCGCAGCGCCCAGTCGCGTAGCCTCAACCGACGTTCTTGAGAGTGATCAGCGCGAGGAGGATGCAGTCGCGCTTCCACCTGTCGACGGCGGCATACAAGCCTGGACGTTTGTGTTCTGTGCTTTCATGTGCGTCGCGCTGCATTCGTGAGCGTACCTGCGTACTGAGCGGCGATGTACAGCCTTGAGATGCTCGTCTGGGGATTCCCGTTCTCGTGAGTGGCGCTTCTTACGGCTATTCGAACAACTCCTCACGCGGTCAAAACAGCTATGGCGTATTCCAAGAATGGTACCTGTCCTCTCCAGATTCACCATTCCGCGGTGCAAGCGAATCTGCCATCAATGCTATCGGGACGATCACCATCGGTCTCCAGTACATAGACGGGATGCTCGTCATGTTCTTCGTGCAGAAGTACCCGAGATGGACCAAGCCGATGATGATCGCCAGCCTCGTCCTTTGCGTCGGCGCGCTGATGCTGTCTAGCTTCGCGACGCAAGTTTGGCATCTTATTGCTTTGCAAGGCGTTGTCTATGGTATTGCTGGTGGTTCCTTGTACATGCCTGTCGTAGGCTGGGTAAGCTTTGCTCTTATGTACTCAGTCTTAGTCTAACGTTTTTCTTAGCTCAACGAATGGTTCGTAACGGTGCGTTCTGATCGTCGGGGCTGGGGCAGCAGGGCATGATTTGACCGCTTGTACTTCTGACAGCGACGCTCCTTTGCGTGCGGGTTCATCTTTGGAGGCGGTGGACTCGGTGGCGCGGGATTTCCCCTTCTTGCCAATGCCTTACTCCAACGCCTCGGATTTCGTTGGACGTTGAGAATCATGGCCGCACTTATAGGTGCACTAGGCGGACTCGCACTCATTGGAGCGAAGGCACGACTTCCTGCCGCGCGCAGAGCTGCACCGGCACCTTTGAGCCTCTCGTTCTTGAGATCGCCAGTCTTCATCTTTGTAGTGCGTATACACGGTTATCTCCACGTGAACGTGAAAGGCTGAAAGAGCTGCAATAGGCCATCACGGTGTTCGTGCAGGGACTGTCGTATTGGCCCGTGTCTCTTTACATCCCGTCTTATGCAGCATCGCTCGGCTTCTCAAGCCTCAACGGCACCCTCGCACTCGCTGCATTCAACTTGGCGACCGTTGCTGGCCAAGTACTTTTCGGACTCTACTGCGACAAGGGCTCGTATACGACAGTGATGATCGGATCTTCTGTGCTCTCGGCAGCCTTCGCATTCGTCCTCTGGGGGTTTGCACATTCACTGGCGCCCTTCTACCTCTTTTCCATCCTCTTTGGTTCTATTGTACGTCTGTTGCATCTGTCTCGTCGTGCAATACACTGACAGACACACAGAGTGGAGGTTTCAGCTCCATCTTCCCGCCAGCTTCCACCGAGATCTTCAGTATGCGACGTTGCTTCATCGCCGGTGTGCGTACGCTGAGCTTGTTGTAGACGCACAGCCGACAGCGCCGTTCATGATCTTCGGATGCGCGAAAGGTCTCGCAGCCATCGCGGGGCCGTTCGTTGCCGCTGCGCTCCACCCGAAGAGTGCACTAGAGGATCATAGTGCTGGTGCTGGAGGATGGTCAGGCTACGGTTTCACAGGTGCGGATGGTTGAGCTTCTGATAGTCTGATTTCAACGTACTCATTCCTTTAGCGATCACTATATTCGTCGGAAGTGGCATGGTTGCATCTGCCGCATTGTCGGGCACAGTCTTGGCCTTTCGGAAGAAGAATATGAAGTCCGAGTAGAGGATACATGAGCTATGGGTATCATAGAGGTTCTGCTTTGCACCCAAATACCGATTATCATTTACGATAAATTTCACGTTCGCCGAGTTCATGGGCGAGAGTACACGGAGGCTCGCCACACGACGCGGCATATTGATGCGACAGAACGGAAGCCCGGGCCGAAGTCGCGGTCAGTGCTGGCGCGCACTGTCGCGTCTTGCTTCGCGTCTCCACCATGATCCCGACGGTTGTTCGTATGTCCAAGGCCTCGCGCCGGCCGCTCACATCAAAGATGGCCAACAAAGACTACTACAAGGGTGCGTCGCCGCATGCATGCACAGACTTCTCAGAATTGATTTCTGTCTAGGTACACGCCAAGCATGGTTGCAGCCGGACTTGCGGACGGGCCCACCGGGAAAGCATACAAAGCATGGAGGGTACCGTTTGATCGAGGAGCAGGTCCGCGTTTTTGTGGCACCGCCGTTGGAAGACATCAATAACTCGAAGGTGCGCATATGCTTGCACAAGAAGTGAAGGTCTTGCTGACTTTTACTTCGCCTATCCTCTTCTTCCCTCGTCCCAAATTGGACTTAACGCGCGTTTCATTTGGTCTATCGACAATTACGCTGCTTATTTGTGACCGTTTGGCGTGCCGGCGAACCTCAGCTCAAGCCATATGTCGCCTTCAACGCCAAGCTCACCGATGATCAAAAACAGGACGTCCTACCTAGCCTGCCTCAGGGTGGTCTCAACGGGAAACATCTATTGGCACTGATGCGTGGAGAGGTGTCAAAATCTGATAGCTATGGTGCTTTCGAACCCGCGAACAGTCTGGCACTCGACTCGGCAGCGGCAACACCTGTACCTTCACCCGGACCTTCGGCTCATGCATAGAGCACGCGTTTTGCGGCTCACTCTTTGTATATAACGCATCCTATAATATACCTCGTTCTACGCTGTCTTGCTCCAGCACATTTGAGCCGCTTCTTCATGGCACCTGCAATGCACGGAGGCGATCCTTGTTGCAAATGGTACGCCCTCGACACATCAACGTGCAATGGTCGAGTCTGCGGTGTGAGTTACTCGTACCGTCTCTGACACACACACTCTCTCGCTACAAGCGCAATCACTCCAAGCCGCGGTTCAAGCTCTCCACTGTTCGACGCCTGCTGCCCGTTAAATTCAACGGCTCGAACTCATCTGACGGATCGACGTCAAGCATAAGTATACGCAGCGGATAGCCAGAACGTATGCTGTTCCGCGTATCTGACAGCACAAACGCTCTCTCGAGCAACTGTATCTCTCGCAAGGGACCTACTTCTCAGCGCTAGTAAGAGTATTTCACGTACCTGTGGTTCATTCTGACTGTTGTTCAAGTGTGCCTCAAAGATCTATCAGCGCTAGCCTCGGCCACCGTCTTCATGAACACAGTGATAGTCACAATATTGCCAGATGAACTGTTAGACTTTGTCTGGAAATGGAATCCTCTCGTGTTCTGACGAATATTGGCTAATGTGGCTTACTGAAGCTTCCTGCAGCTCTCAAGATCCCGCGACTGGCGGATCGGAACGAACACTGCAGGGTCGCTTGAACTAGAAGGTTCAAAAGGGTATTGGCCCCAGACGCGATACACATGTCTCCAGCCTCGTACGGTCCCTGAGCGCTTGAGCTTCGTCGCTCTTCCGAGTCAAGGGTTAAAGCGCTCGTTACTCAAGCCCTCGGGGCGCCGGTGAGGTCCCCTTTCTCCTTACTATCGGGAACCAATGCATCGCCGCCGTACTCGCGTTACTCATGTACTATATGGGACTCCTAGCGCTGCGGGCACGGTGTCGGTGCCGCCGCCAGTGATGTGCGAGGCGCTGAAGATTGAGTTTTCGCACAGGCGGGCTCGAGGGAAGATGGCCGAGCCACTGCCAACTTCTCCGTTCTCATCACACGCCGTGGACCGTGGTCCAATATGGCGCAAACTTCCTCAATCGTCGACCGAGGCCTTATCACAAGCTCAGCAGTCCAGTAACGCGCGTTGTATGCCTTAATCGCTCGGAGTAAGATAATCTACGCGAGCCTGCGATCAGAGACTCGAGGATGGTGTGCTGGAAGAAGCCCTCTCTCGCATATGCTCGGGTCGCTGTTATAGGCTGAAGCGCATTTCTCGTACACTGCGATGAAGATGGTCGATATGCCCATGTAAAAGGCGCTTACGGGGTGCCCGCTTTGGGCTTAGAGCAGGAGAAAGAGGATTGCACAGGACAAATCAGGAGGCGTCGGGCCGTTCGCGCGCGCTCATCTCTTCAGACACACTCGCCCGACAGGCCGCCGTCAAATCATCAATTACATAAAAACCCATATGCTCCGGGATATGTCGAGAAGAACCGGAAGACCAGCTTCGTCATCCGAAACCATTGTGGCCGAGAACATGAGAAGTTCGATGACATACGATTCTCGCGCAGTGATAGCTGAGGGTTCGCGAATTCTGAGAGACCGCTTCGACATCCATACCTAATGTGTTGTCCTACGAGCTCGACGCTCTTGAAATGCGGGCTCCATACGAGAATTCATATCCTACGCTGCACCGAACGGCTCGGACGGAAACAACGCCCGGAAGGCGCCGGTTGATGCCGCTCTCGGCTCCGGAAGCCGGCACGTGTGGCGCAGTTTGGCGCTCCACACTCATCCGTTGTCCGCGCTCGGCTCTATTTTTCTTCCAACCCGCATCTCCAGACTTCTCCGCACTCCGCCGTTCCTGAGCGCTCGAGCGCTCATAGACGTCGTACTGACCATCCCCACCTTCTGTCTTCATGTTTTACGAAAGAACATGTTCGAGCGCCTTCTATCAAGGGAACAATGGGACACTGGAGCCGCATTCTCTGATCGGGCGTCATAATATGGCGTCCTAGAAGAAAAAGTTGCTTCCGACTTGTCCGTGCGGACGTACGATGCTGGCATGCCACGCTCGGCGGCTGCTTGCTGTACGCTGATGTCATCCCGACGTGAGGGTCTGTTTTATAAGACCCCCTCGGACAGTGTGGATGTTTCTCAAGCTCCCTCGCCTCGCCCCGCACTCTTACTGTCTGGCGTTGAAGCTTTTGAACGACCCCTAACGATGGCTCTATTCTACATGTAAGTTCAACAACCCATACGCTGTCGTCCACATTGTCCTCATCAGTTTACGCAGGCAAGGAGTGCCCATAGGATGGGTCTCCATCATGCTCGCTCTCGTAGCGAGTATGGGTGGCTTCATCTTCGGTTATGACACCGGTCAAATCTCCGATATCCTCCTCATGGACGACTTCGTACTCCGGTTCGCACAATGTGGCACGCCGGGGGACTCTTCGACATGTCACTTCTCCAACGTCCGCGAGGGTCTCATCGTTGGCCTGTTGTCAATTGGCACGCTGATTGGCGCGCTCGGTGGTGCACCGTGCGTCATCTCAAATATCGTCAGTACCTTCACCGTGTACTGACATTCTCGATGCTAGTACGGCGGACTTCTTTGGCCGTCGCCGCGCAATGCAGATGGAGTGTCTGGTCTTCGTTGTTGGCGTTATCATCCAGATTACGGCTGAGCACTCTTGGGTGCAAGTCGCCGTCGGACGATTGATCTCTGGCTTCGGTGTTGGCGCATTGTCCGCTGCCGTCCCAATGTACCAGGCCGAAACAGCCCCCCCTCAGATCCGTGGAACCATGACCGCGACATATCAGCTTTTCATCACCTTCGGTATCCTCGTGGCCTACTGCATCTCTATTGGAACGCGCAACATGGATGGTCGTGGCGCGTGGCAGACCGTCATCGGCATCGGCATCGTCTGGCCCGCGATCCTCGCCGGTGGTATTCAGTTCATGCCCGAGTCCCCTCGTTGGCTCGCCGCTCACGGTCACGTCGAGAAGGCCGAGCGTGCGCTGGCTTTGTGCCGTGGCGTCGACCCCAATGCCGAGGACTACATCATCAAGAAGGAGGTCGAGGAGATCCGTGCGGCTGTCGAATACGAGAAGGACACCCGGGCCGGATGGTTGGACTGCTTCTCCCCCCGCGGAAAGATGCTCTACCGCACCCTTCTGGGAATGAGTCTTCAGTCTCTCCAGCAACTCACTGGTGCCAAGTACGCCCATTATCGCCGCAGGGTCCCAAACATTTCTGACCCGTGCCCCACAGCTACTTCTTCTACTACGGCGCAACGATTTTCCAGTCTGTCGGCATCTCGGATTCGTATGTTACGCAGGTGATTATTTCGTCATCTTACCGTCGTATCAAGCGCTCAAGCGCGAACACAGATCATCCTCGGAGCTGTCAACTTTGGCTGCACATTCCTCGGTCTCTACGTGATGGAACGATTCGGCCGTCGCATCCCGCTCATCATTGGTGGCGTCTGGCAGTCGATGTGGCTCTTTGTGTTCGCTGCCGCCGGCACCGCCAAGGACCCTACGACTAACGAGGGCATCGGCAAGCGTACGTCTACCCGTACATCTGCTTCACTTGGCTCCGTACTGATCTCGATATAGTCATGATTGTTTCCGCTTGCTTGTTCATTCTTGGCTACGCCTCGACTTGGGCCCCTGGTATCTGGATTCTTATCGGCGAGACATTCCCCACCCGTACCCGTGCAAAGCAGGGTGCGCTCGCGACCGCGTCGAACTGGCTGTGGAACTTCTTGCTCGCCTTCTTCACGCCCTTCATCGTCGGTGATATCGGGTTCAAGTACGGCTTCATCTTTGCCTGTAAGTTGATCTTATCATCCTTGCATCTCGCAACTAACGGCTCTCTCAGCGTGTAACTTGGCTGGTGCCGTTGTTGTCTTTTTCTTCTTGTACGAGTCTTCGGACATCTCGCTCGAGGCCGTTAACATGATGTACAACGACCCCGCATGCAAGCCGTGGACCTCACGCGCATGGGCACCTCCTGGCTACGCCAACCGCCACGATCTCATCGAGCAGACCCGCGCAGCCGAGCAGCACAAGCCGCTCGCAGGTGCGCAGGCCGAGCACATCGAGAAGGCCGGTGAGCCCAGTGGCCTCAATGGCGAACACCACGAGTACGCGGCGAAGGCATGAGCGTCTACTTCCGTGTTTCGATTTGTACACGCTTTGTTCGCTATCCATTCTTGAAGTCTGCTCTGCGATACATTGAACTGTCCCGTTTTGGTTTACGTGTTACCCTTCACGCACCTAATAATGCTTTGCTACGAGAAATGTCTTTCTACCTAGGGCCTATCTATCACTATATAGTTACCCTATTGTATGACAGTGTACGATATGATGATGTTGTCTTCAATGTTCACTTTCGACGTGCGCACTGTGTAGATCTGCCAAGTCAATGTTGCCTAACCGTCGAAGGACAACAGGCGCGTATTGAAGCGGGCCGAGAAGCTACTGTGATTTGAAGGCTTTCAGGAGGCTAAAGCGCCAGTGTCTCTACACGAACGGCTTGTTCTCTATCCACCGCTCAATGACGAACTTCGTCAGTGCAGGTTGATCCAAAGACACCTGGTAAACTTGGTCAGCTAAATGATTAGTCGCACAAGCTGTCTTCCACATACGAAGTGCCCTGCCTCGGCGTAGGTCAGGAAGGTAAAGTTACCGGCCCCGCCTGACCCGGCGACGCGCACCGTACCCGCGGGCGACTGTGCCGATGGCCATGGCACGTCTTCCGCGGCGCGAAACTCTGCTGAAAAGGGGGACTGAATGAGTTTGAGGAATGAGAGCGTTCCTGGCCAGGCGACACTGGCGTCTTGCATGCCAACATTATCTACGTGTTGTGAGCGCTACAGCGGCGACGTCGACGCAAGGAAACATGAGCCTGGGACGTACGCAGAATGCGGATCCCGTCGGTGAGCAATGGCTCGTACAGCCTGAAGTGGTTGAATATGCTGCGGCAAGTCTACTCAGCGCAAACCGACTTCGGGGTACGTTGCTCCGACGTACTGGTCACCGTATTCTACGAATCGCATAAAGACCTACGCGGATAGCGGAGTCAATCTGACCATTACTTGACGGTAGCATAATAAGCTCACCTCGACATTCACAGAGAACCACTCTACGTCATGAGGAACGCCGAGTACTGCTTTCGTCTGGTTTGAACGGAAGAAGTCGTTCATCCAGAGGAATTCGGGGTAGCAGATGCCCATATCGCCCTCCTTACACTACACTTTGTTAGAGTGATCCTGAGGGTTAAGAACACTGAAGTCCTTTACGCACTGTCTTACGGATATCTTGCAAAACCAGGCCATGCATATCTCCATCAAACATGCTGCTACAGAACATCAAAGCGTCGTTACGGCTCTTGGCAGTCGAGGTTAACTCATCCAGCGCGTAGTCGAGCCTGTCCAGGCACTCCGGGAGGAGTGGATACAGAGATGCGCAAGTTGTTGAGTTGTATACGTTGTGCAGTTCGCACATGTAGTGCAACGCCCAACCGTACCAAGCTTTTGGTGACTGCTTTTGATCAGTGCCTAACTTTCGTCACAAACTGGAGTGGGCGTACCGACGCCGGGTTGCTGAGCGCCAAGGACTTGAGGTTGATCGTGATGGCACCGGGTCTACCCTCTCCGCGCGCGATGGCTTTGTTCTGCTCGTGTATGACAGTTGCGATATGGGGCACCCATATACCACCATAAGAGCCACTCGAGATCACGAATTGGTTCCTGTGTGCGAGCGTCAGTATGACCTCTCTTTTGACTGGCAGGCTCTTAGGCTTACTTCGCGAGGTGAGGGAACAGAACAAAGAACTTCTGAAGGAAGTCATACGCTTCGTACGCGGCTTCGCGGCTGTTGTTCACGATGGGTCCATAGGAATACCCTACTCCAACCGGCTGATTCGTGTCAGCACAGAGCACACAACACAAGGAGCAGAGGACCAACGTAATCCAACGCCAGGAGATTGAACTTCTCCGTCCATCTATTCGGGTTGGGCACGGTACCGTTCTCAGTCATCTTGCAATGTGATAGACCCAGGACTGGATTGGCGAGACCGCTTGTCCCAGGGCCACCCCCGATAGTAAGACTAGGCGAGGGTGTTAGAAAGGCTCAATAACACTCTGTAGTTGAGAGGACGTACATGACAGGCGCGTTCTCAGCGTCTTCCTCGGCCTCGAAGTACCTGGTATCACGAGGGTGACTTACACATCATGGTGATCGGAATGAGTGTGTGTACCAGAAGAACGAGCGCTGAGGTGTCTCCTCTGTATCGTTGCTTAGACCAATGTAGCCTGCATGCGAATGAGTCCCCGGTACAATGCTGGGGCAGATACTCTCCGCCCGAGAAATCGAGTGATAGAAAGAAGACGCGTCATAGATAGAGCCTTGTTGTGTCTTCGTTGCCAGAGCTGCAGTACGAGGTGCTATATTGACCCGAGACGGGCCATAACGGTGGACCAGACTCAGAATCAGGACCAAAGTGAAGGCGCCCAGTATGCGCAAGCCACGGCGGCGTGCTGACGTGGCACGAACGTTACGTTCTTGCGACGCGACAGGCAGGAGGAAAGCGTCGTTCCCCTCCGGCGAGCCTTTGAGAGCTGCAGAAGGCATGATGAAGGGAGAACGCAAGATGGGTTGCAGCTATCTGTGGGTTCCTTGTGTACGGAGCACACGGTAAGCGGTGCCATCACTTGAGACCGATAATATCATCGTCGCTAGTGGTAGCTTATATGCCTAGTCTCGGACATGTGTGGGGGTCTATGCAACCATTGACGCGTACACAACAGTGAAGACGGGAAGGGTCAGTCGGTATGGCAAGGGGGAATGACCGACTCGATGCTTTGTTCAGGACACTGGAGGTGGTAGTAGGGAGATAAGATGCCGCGGCATGCGCAATATGCATTGCATCACGCGCGCCCCTGGGTTGGTGGAGGCGCAACTCGCTGCGTGATGAATAGGCTGCGCCCATAAGACTTCTGAGACGTGAATGTACACGGTAGACGACAGGATCAACGTTGGCTTGAAGCTTCACGCCTCTCAAGATTCCAGTGAGCGATGACGAATGACTATCGCTAGCTCCAACATATGCGAGTCAGTCAGAAGTGCTCAGCTTGAATATCAATTGTTGTGTCCCACTCCGGGCGCGTACGATCCCTCAATAACTGTGGCGAGCGGGAGCACGGAAAATGCCGAAAGGGACGCGCTTACAGTAGCTCGTGAGAAGCTGGAGCGGCATCTCGGCCAAGTCAGGTGAGCGCCGGCTTTTGCCGAATGGGGCGGAGATCGCTCAGCGTCTGCTCGTCGTCGTCCTCAACGCACTCAACATGGGCAAGGGTACGTCTCGCCGTTGTTGGATATGATAATTAGACGAAATATTGACTCTGCAATGTATAGTTCACGGTTCTCTTGCGCGCGCCGGTAAGGTCAAGTCGCAGACCCCGAAGGTCGAAAAGCAGGAGAAGAAGAAGACGCCAAAGGGCCGCGCAAAGAAGCGCATCATCTACAACCGTCGGTGCGTAGCGACGAGCTCCTGTCAAAACAATTTAACTGATATTTTTCATAGCTTCGTGAACGTGACCACGCTCCCCGGCGGCAAGAGGAGGATGTGAGTGTCATTTCGCAATATTCCGTCGCACATCTCCTGCCATCGCCCCCCTCGTCTGATGATACAGCAAAAAACAAGCATAGTTCACACTGAAACTACCGTGTTGACACACAAGCATCTAACGTCTTTCGCTCCTATCTGATCCTCTCCCTCTATCCGCTCCAATATTTCTGAATATCCTCATGCTGACTCGATCTCCTTCAGGAACCCCAACCCCGAGAAGTAAACGTCTGTCGACGCCAGGCACCTGTTTATTCTCGACTCGCTCTGCACCCGCACATCCACCAGGGTTGTATCACTCGCCTCTCGGTCGTCATTTCCCTCTGTATCCGCATTTCCGCCTGTCTATGCATCCCGCGCCCTCTCAGTATGCAATAAAAGTATGCAAACAAGGATAATGCCGACTGCATGTGCAGCGTCAGCTTGATTCGAGTCGTTACGCGAAAGTACAACATGGGTTCAGAAGAATAAGGTGGTAATGCTCAGAGCAGGGGCATTCGAGAGGTTGATGGAACCGCCGCTGAGGGCAGGCGCACTAATGGAGGCATAGTCTTCGTTGGCGCTGGTCCTCACAGCCGACTTGGGCGACGCGATGCTCACACCAGATGCAGGCGTCAGGGTAAGGCTGCTGGCCGCGTTCTGCATGTTCATCGCGACGATAGCAAACGGTTTTCCTTTTGGGAAATCGAAAGCCAGAACGCGCCATTTTGCCTCTGTGCCAGAACTTGACGTCGTGACGCTACGGACCACGGCGCCGATGGGAGCGGCCTTGGTGAAGTGCTTGAGGACGTAGAAGCGCTTGGTGACGCCCAGGCCGTGGAAGCCCGTGCTAGCAAAGTTCGGGTCGTAGTAAATGAGGCCGTCGTTCCAGCCCGCCGATGATTGAGCGACATTCAGGCAGTTTGCGTTGGATGAGGGGTTGCAGTTTCCGATCTGGTTCGAGAGCGCTGTCCACCAGTCCCTTCGCGTCGCATGAGTCATAGCCTAAGACGATGAGGTATTGGAATTGTACCAGTGGTTCTCCTGCGCGTTGCCCAGCGATTGAAAGATGAGGTTCGCCATGCGCAAGCCTCCCATCATCGTGGGATCGTACTCCGACCCGTAAGATACCGATGACGTTGGGTCCGTACTGCTGCTAGCAAAGCCTATCCAGCCCGGTTCAGCACAAGCGTCCAATCGAAGCTGTGTCCTTGCTCACAACAGATCTCAGTTGCCCAAACCTGAGCGCCACCACTCAGCGAGCGCGCTTGGTTCGCCATCGTCAGCTGCGTAGCGCCATCGACAAAGCCATACTGGTGGTGGACCACCGCGGCAACGGCACTCCCTACGTTCGAGTTCAACCAGTTCGGTGCTTCGGAGGTGAATTGGGCTATTGAGTATTCAATCCGGTCAGCTCTCGCCAGACATCTCGAGCAGAAGTTCAACATACACTGCGTTGAAGTCTCATCCCCAATGACCCGAGTCGAAAGTCCGGCATTGCTGAACGATTGCGCGATCGTGGTCAAAACTTGAGCGCGCTGGCTAACGGTCACTATCATCCCTTCCTGACCGCAATTGGAGCCAGAGCCGAAGGAGTTGTCAGGTTCACTAGTGTTTGATCAGTTGTCTGTGGACATCGCGCTGTCTCTGCGATCGACGTACTTCATAGGGGAAACGTGCGTGATGGTGACGCCCTGCGACTTCCAGTGGTTCACGACGTCCGTCAGGTACTGTGCATACGCCTGAATACGGCTCGTAATGAGCGTGCCGCCACAGTTCTTGCCGTTGGAGGTGAAGGTCGTTGGCTAGACAACGAGTATCAGCGCCGGCTACTGTCAGTGCACTGTGCGTCACCGTACCGCGCTGTTCACGAAGAGCGTGATTTGGGGGACACCTTGCCGAGCTGCCTCCTTGAGGAAGAAGGTGCCTGCCGCATCGACAGTCCAGTCATAGTTTCCGTCGCTGTGATGAACGCGTCAGCTATGCGCAAGCTGTGATGCCACTTACAATCCGCTTTACCTCTTGTAGGGCGTCTGAGGAGCACGATCAACAGTAGTGACGCCAACTCCTCCTCCTCCAAGGTTGTAGCGGTAGTCGGTCAACCCGAGGCCTACAGAGAGAATCAGGTCACGGGTGTGGATATGTAGGGGACAGCGCGCACCAGTGTTCTGGTTCAGCAGCAGGTCGCTGACGTTCTGCTGCACGGAGGTCGGAAACTTCGCGATGTCGTTCACCCACCACGCGCCACTCGCGCCAATACCATTCACGGTCTGAAGATTGGTGTTGGTTATAGTGGCCGCATGTCCGACGGCATAGAGAGTCGAGGCGGAGGCGAAGAGAGTAGAGCGAAGAAAGACCATGTTGACCTCACCGCAAGCTTCACCACTCCCAGAGTACGCTTATATGAACAGGAAGCTAGTAACATGACGATGCTCGGGATGATATGCACGACCTTCGCCAACAATACGGGCCGGCACTGCACCGGTGAGAAGGCACCTGCCAACTAATGCTTGTGTCGAAGGCATGGCAACTTCGAGTCAACCGACCCCGATGCCCCCATATCAGGTCGACGAGGTACAATCGAAGCCGCAGGAAGTGAACATAGTACATGATCACAAGATACTGTACGGTATGGCAGTGGCGGAACAGAGGCTTCTTCACCGCACAGACCGCACCGCAAGTCCGGCGATGATCCGCATAGATCCGCGGGAGATCGTCACATCTCCAAGCGTAAACCCGAAATAGCACCTCGTCTATAGCTTATTTCCACATTTTATCAGCTACGCGCACAACATCTCCGAGCATCTGCACGTCATGTACTCGTATAATCTCCACGCCTTGCTGAACCGCTGTAGTGACTGCGGCAGCTGTAGCAGCATCGCGCTCGCTCGCGGCCGTCTCTCTTCCTTGATACGCGCTTTGCTCGTCCGCCTCCTCGAGGATCTTTCCGAGGAACGACTTGCGAGATGTGCCGATGAGCTGTGGGAAGCCGCGTAGAGGGTTACGGGAGCCATCTGGAAGCTCATCCGCTGTCAGGCCTCCCGCGCAACGCAGGAGCTCGAGGTTCCCGTCTATCGTCTTGCTGAACCCGACTCCAGGATCAACCATAACGAGCCACCGTCGCACACCGCCCGACCAGCGCACTATGGCATCAATCTTCTCGCTCAGCTCCCGTGTAACACCTTCGAGTACCGAACTGTACTGGCCATAGTCCTTGTTCTGTCCGGCGGGGCCGCGCGAGTGCATCAATACGACAGGGACGGCGAATTCATGTGCGAGCGTGCGCATCTCCTTGAGTGTGGTGGCCGACTCATTCGTCAAGGGATACTCTGGTCCGGTGAACGCGTAGACATCGTTGATGCAGTTCGCTCCGGCCTCGAGAGCGGCGCGTGCGACGCTTGGCCGGAAAGTGTCCACGCTGATAGGTACGACGGATACGGCAGCGTCGTCGGATGCGCGGAGAGCCTCGATAGTCGATACGACACGGCGAGTCTCTTCTTCATCCGAGACGAAATCGGCACCAGGTCGCGTCGAGTACCCGCCGACATCAATGATGGACGCGCCAGCTGCCACGGACTTGGACGCGTACTCTAATGCTGTGGATGTCGAGTCGTGGCTGCCGCCATCGGAGAAGGAGTCTGGTGTAGCATTGAGAGTCGCCATGAGTCGCGTTCTGTGTGGCGCAGGGAAGGCCCAGTGCGTTGCAGTGGCGCGGTATTGCGGATACGCGGCGATGGGCGGTTTCTGTATTCCGGACGTCGCTGGGAAAGGCATGACTCGTGCCATGGGAGGCTCTTCAGCGGGCTTTGCTCTCATCACATCGGCCAGAAGGTCTTTCATGGGTCGCTTCAGTACGGGGTGAATCCAATCGGGGATTATGCTGCAGTACCGATGATGAGTGCTGAACATGTTTGGCAATACAACTGTACGTACTCGCACAGGGGTCTAAGCACGAACTCGCGCTCGGCCATACGAGGATGAGGGATGACCAGTTGGTCTTCAAGATTGTCGAGGGTCGCACGTGCATTTGCCGGTCTGGTGTCAACTATGGCGTCGTTGTAAAGCAGAATGTCGATGTCTACGCATCGAGGGCCGTTGCGCTTCTCCTTGACGCGTCCCATCTCGACCTCGAGCATCTGTAGTGTCGAGAGAAGGGAGTGCGTGCCGAAGTTCGTGCGGACCTACGAATGCCAAGTTAGGTACGCGCAGTAACACTGACTAGGGAGGTGGCGCACCATGACTGCACAATTCGCAAATTTGGGTTGGTCCGTCACATACATGGGCTCCGTCTCGTACATGAAGCTGGTGTCCACCACATGAAACTGGATGGCAGCACCCGGACCGCTCTTGAACTGGGTATGCCACTTCTCCAGAATCTGTAGCGCGGCTTCGATGTTTGCAAACCGATCTCCGACGTTCGAACCCAGGGCTAGGGCGACCGTATTCATATCGTTGCCGGTGACCTCGAACGTGTGGCCAACAGACTTCAATAGAGGTACGAGGTTAAGCGGCCCCTCAAGAGGTGACGAAAGTCTGTTGGCGACCTTGCGAAGCTCGGGGTAATCGCTAAATGTTCGCGTCATCTCGACTTCTGCTGCCTCGGCGAAGACGATGGCCTTGGGTTTTCCGGCACGAACAGTGACGACCGCCTTGGCGTCTTGGGCTAGAAGCAGGGACGCCTTGGCTACGAGAGATGCCAGCGCTTCGAGCGAGATGAACTTTGATGATTCAGTTGCCTGTATGAACCTTATCTAAGAAAGTGTCCGTGTACTGGTGTGGGTGGACGACTCACTTTGCGTATGTGTTGCCCGAGTCTTCGCCAATCAAAGACTTTCCCTTCACGCTCAACGTCAACGTCAAAGTGAACGAGCTGCTTGTCTTCCCGCTCGCAGGGGTTGAGCCCTACAATCAGGTTGCACGCCAGTCTGTTCAAGGTGAACCGATCCCGTGCGAGTCGTGAACCATTGCGAAGACGGTGACTGTGTATGGAGACATCATCTGCATAAGGCAGGGCGCGCGGCTTAGCAAGGGATATTTCCGCCTCGGAAACGTCAGGAAATGTAGAAAAGCAGGCGTCGAAGAGAACATCAAGCAGAGCTTCGAGCGATGGGAATTTTGCGCCATCGTCAACGGCTTTCAGCAGCGAGCGAGAAAGAGTCCCGTAATTCACAGATTTCTCTACATCATCGGAAGCGGCAGAGGGCTTGAGATCGTGCGGAACTGTGATGTTGACGATCACGGGCTGCTTCTTGGGCTCGCCGTTCTCGTTCGGCCATTGTGCGCCATCCCCGACAGTGGCGACGAGGTGCAAGTTGCGGAGCCGGACAAAGTCTCGTCGAGGCTGGCTGCCGACAGATCGTTACTTTCGTAGTTCAAGAACATGTGTTTAGAGTATTGACCTCGAGCTAGGCCCTGGAGGCCGCGGCATGGTGATGGCGGACGCGGTCAAAGTTCGAAGATCAAAGCGCGCCGCGGACGCGTCGGCCCCTGATACCGAACGGCCATGTCGCTCAGCGCGTCCCTTGAACGTCTCTCCAACTACCGCATTAAGAACACACGCGCTTCGCGGGATATATTCGACAAGGGTCGGCCTATATTAGAACAAAGACTAGACAGTCTGGGCGATGAGAGTGCGACTTTCATGCCGCCTGCCGCCCGCGGTCGCGCCTGACGGGAGCATGACCAGAATGGACTTTCCTGGAGCAATTCGCGCTTGCAGCCATTGACATCGGTCGTCTGGACACCGCCGAGGTATGACATAATATTGGATCTAGTAAAGCGCGTACTCACACAGTCCCGTAGCAATGCCTGAACCTGCTTGCCGTACAGTTTCCAGACTCTCCTCGAGTTCAATGTCTGGAGGGTATCCTGGAGGAGACAAGGTCTCCCGCCAACGCGCAACACTTCTATGAGAAGCTACTGGCGGAAGACGGAACAAATGGTGTACGTTTGAGCACCTCGCCCGTGGATGGTGGTACTTATATATATCCCAGGCCGCGTGGAAGCGGCTAGTAGCTGTACTGAGAAGGCAAGGACAGATTGACAAGGCCGTGCGAGAGTTGTCGGAATACCTGGACACTTTCTACAACGATGTTGAAGGCTGGTTGGAGCTCGCTGACATCTACGCATCATGCAACCAGTATGTCTTTGCCTTGCCCTGTTGTCTACCATCTTCTTACTTGGTCAGGTACACATACTCCCTCCAGTCACTATCCCACGCGCTACTCCTTGCGCCTCAGAACCCATTTTACTACTTGAAGGCCGCGGAGACTGCATACACGGCAGGGGACGTCACACTTGCACTCAAGTACTTCCTCATGACGGTCGATATGACTGATGATACCGGTGACAAGCCTGCCAAAGACTCTGTCCCAACCGGCATCACGCTGCGAGCATGGTATGGCGTTGAACTTGTGAGCCACTTCGTACCTATTGGATTTGAGCGTCGCTGATGTTGGAGTACAGTGCACGCGCAGGTTACAGGCGGAGAACAAGCTTGCCTCACAATCGGAGTCCGACACCGCTGCGTCAAACCATCTACCAGCCTTGCATAAACTCGCGACCAAGATGCTTGCAATGGCGTACGGATCAAAAGATGCCGCGACCTCGGTCGAGGCCACACGTAGATTACTTGCATAGAACGAGTCTCCTATTGTATCAGCATGCGTAATGCTCATATAAATATTTTGTAAAGCTCTTCAAGCGCTGTACCCCAAACTGCGGCCTGAGCGCTGAGATCGAGATCGCATTGGGGATCTATAACCCTAACCCCAACACATGTTGCCAACGTGTGGCACGACAGAGACGTGTCTCGAACCCCATCCGGCGCGCCCACTGCTTGCATCGTGCCTCATCGTTGCTCTTCCTCCGCCCGCCTATTTGGAGGCAGTCAAGATGTTCTCTGACCTGTCGAACTTTGTGAAGACCGTGCGCAAATTGGGCGTACGACATGTGCGTTCCCCAAATATATGTATCATTCTTGAACTAATCGGGTTCCGTACCAGGTTTTGCTACAGATGCTCAACTTTGCTTCGGTTCTGGCGTCGGGCCTGATGATGTGGAAGGGCCTTGGCCTTGTAACCAATACGGAGTCTCCGATCGTGGTCGTACTCAGGTGCGTGTTGCTGCTTCCGTTGCACGGTTCTGTACGCGTCCTAACTCCGCGTATTCGAACTACAGTGGCTCCATGGAACCAGCGTTCTACCGCGGCGACCTCCTCTTCCTCGTAAACCCTCCCAATACTCGATACCAAACGGGAGACATCACGGTCTACAAGATACCCGGACAGGATATTCCCATCGTCCATCGCGTGTTAGAAACGCGTGACGTAGTGAAGACGGTTGACGGGTGCGTATTCTACCCTCTTTAGTGCTACGATTCCCAATTGAAGCCGCCACGACATGCAGAGTCGTCGAGTTGATACCCAACCCAAACAACCAATTGCTACTGACAAAGGGTGACAACAACCCCGGAGATGACATCGAGTTGTACCGCGGGCTCTCACATCTCGAGCGGAAACATATCGTTGGTAAAGTTCGCGGGTCAGTGGTCTTCCTTGTGAAAAGCAACAAACACCTTTCCTAACGTGCGGGCGTCTGCAGATTCCTCCCTTACGTCGGATACGTCACCATTGCTATGGAAAGTGCTCGGTCTGAATTTCGCGAACGAGCCAAGAAACTTACGATCCTGCAGAATGACTTCCCTCAACTAAAGTACGCGGTCCTTGGGGGACTGGGATTATTAGCCTTGATCCAGCGAGAATGAACGGAGCAAATGGACTTTGATGTATTTCTAGTTACCGCTTACCTCTGTTAGGGCTCTATACCTATTTATTCACTGGGCCGTCCAATAGAGCCTGCGCAATGTCTGCGATTGCCTCGATGTCGAGTCGACTACTATCCAGGAACGCTCTCGGACATAGTCGGCCAGTGGATCTACACTAAACCGTGCGCCGACCTGCTCTGTTCCTCTAAGCCGTCTATCAGCACACCAGATCTGGTTCGGAACGGAATCACATTTTTGCACGGTCTATGTCGATCGTGTCCAATAGACTTATTTTTGGCGGATGACCTCTCCGCGTGTCATGGGACCAGCCTGCGAAATGATCTCAACTCAGAGACTTGACACCTTCATATAGCTGTCTGGCTTGAATGTGCTCTTTGTTGAGCTGCACTCCTACTCGCCCTCAATGGTTGCTGGGAGCTGCTAATAACCACGCGCGATCTCCCTCTCGATCCAAATATAGATCGTCCTCAGGTGAGGTCGCAACGTCTTCTTCCTCATTGGCCTCGACATCTATACCGGCACGGTAGTTTTGATCTTCCTCCCATGGACGATAACGTTACTGCCCCACACCCCCGACTGTCGCCCCGCTCTCACCGGCGCGGGGGTCCGAGACATCATCATGCGCGCTTCCAACGAACGTCCTATCACGCCTTTCGGTACCGCAGCAAACCAGCGTGGATAGCCGCCTACAAATACGAGCAAGGGTAGAGCAAGGCAGCTTTCGAGCTTGTCTCTCGCTTCCCCCGCTCACGCCACCATGAGCGCCGACAGCAAGCCCTTACCCTCCTCGTCCGCCCAGGGCGTCGATCCCGAGAAAGCCTCCGTGGACCACGCGGAGAACCCGAACACGGATGGCACGTACCACCAGTCGAAGCTACCTCCCCGCATCTGGTACAAGGCGCTGGTGACGAAGCTCAGCCCTGAGCATTCTGCTGCTGTGCATGCAGACGCAGACCAGGTCGTGTATACGGAGGTCGAGGAGAAGAAAGTGCGAAGGAAGATCGACAAGGTCGTACTTCCTCTCATCGTCTGTTCATACATCTGTACGTGGCTCCTTGCTCTTCCCTGAAGTGCTCTCGCTGATTCGCACCGCAGTCAACCAATTCGGTGAGCGCCGTGCTGCCTTGGCTCCCACAGCTTGTAACTGAAGTGATCCTTCTACATAGATCGTACGAACATGTAAGCCGCCGCTTTACCTGCGTAATCCTGCGATTGACAGTTTGCTCGTGGTACCAGTGGAAACGCTCATGTCCTCACGGCTTTCAATGAGAACTTCGTGAGCGCTTACGAGTCATCGACGTATACACGTTGCTGATCTTCGTTCAGGGAATCACGACAAACGCGCGATGGACGCTGGCGTTAAGTATCTTCTATGTCGGTTATTGTACGTCCGATGTACTATCTTGGCCTCCCACGACTAACAGAAGTTGTAGGTCTATTAGAGATGCCCGCGAATGGTACGGAGATACCCCAACAGATCATATCAGCGTCTTCTAACCCAGTCTCTTTCAGTCTTGCAGCGTGCCATCGGCGCGAACCGCTTGTGAGTTCAGTGCCACACATACCCCATGCCAAGCCAGCTCATCCCTGCGCACAGCTTCTTCCTCTCCCTTGGCTTTTGGGGATTGGCTTCGCTCTCTTTCGTCTACTCGAAGGGCTATGGCGGTTTGCTCGCACTGCGTGTTCTGCTTGGGATCGGTGAAGCGGTACGAGCTCCGTAACGTTGCGGCATCTTCCTGTTGACTTATCAGAGGTAGGGCTACTACGCTGGGATGATCTACTATCTGTCGTTCTGGTATACCAAGTACGTGAAGGCCAATGAGAGCACTGGAGTGTTCCTGATAAACCATATGCAGGCGCGAACTTGCGTTCAGGATCAGCTTGTGCATGACTGGCACTCTCCCTGGAGCAATCGGTGGTCTTCTTGCGTTCGGTCTCGTTCGTGCACACACGTCTGTCTTGACTGGATGGCAGTTCCTCTTCCTCGTACGTCCAGTCTCAGCCATCATGCACACATGTACTCACGTCGACACATACAGATCGAAGCCATCCCGGACCTTTGCATGGCCTTCATCCTCTTGTTCTTCCTCCCCGCTTTCCCCTTCACAGCGACATTCCTTACTCCGCGTGAGAAGGCCATCGCTCAGGCTCGCCTTCAACGCGAGCACCGCCCTACATCGCATGGCGGCATGACCGGTTGGCAGGGTTTCAAGGCTGTCGTCCATGATTTGAACGCGTGGCTCTTCGTGGTCATCTACACGAGCTGTATGTGTTTCACAAACTGGCCGAAGGTGCTCGGCTGACATCTTCCAGTCAACGTCGGCGTAGCCACCATAACCTACTTCCTGCCAACTGTACGCTCCCACGTTTGTTGCCGCATTACGCCACTGACAACCTTTATTCTGCAGCTCATCAAGCAGTTCGGTTTCAGCCCGATAAATTCCCAGGGTCTGACTGTCGCGCCCTACGTGGTTGGCTGGTTCTTCGTCGTCGGCCAAGCATTCCACAGCGATCGCACACACGATAGAGGATGGCACGTCGCCTTTTCTGCCACGGTCGCGTTCATCGGATACCTGATCCTCGCGACCTGTGCTGAAGCGTCCACTGGCGCGTCTTACTTCGCGATCTTCCTCGTGATCGGTGGCCTCTTCAGCATGTTCCCACTCGTCATGTATGTGCATCCTTGTACTGGACCCAGAGCAGCGATTGACAATGCTTGCAGGAGCTGGGCTGCTGCGAACTTCTCGCCGACTTCGAAGCGTGGTGTCGGAACGGCCTTCGTGGTCTCTATCTCCAACTGCGTGTCAATGTCAGTACCTTGTATCCCCGTCTGCAGTGACCGTCCATCCATATCTGACTCATATACTCACAGAGCGTCGCCACAAATATACTTCGACGACGACGACAACTACCGCAAAGGCCACGGTATCGCATGCGGAATGCTCTTCCTGTGCATCCTCGCGACTATTACGCTGCGCACGCGTTTGGCACTCCTGAACCGCCGTAACCGTGCTATGATGCAGAGTTTGGAGAGTCAAGGGAAGTTGCCTGAGGTGAGGGAGGATGAGGAGATTACAGACTTAGACCCGAGATGGGTGTACATGACTTGATGAGGGGCAGATGACGAGGTGAAAGAGTGTATACGAAACCATGACATTTTATGTATACTAGAACATCGTGAACACTGTTGTCTCTCGACCGGATAACAAATACCACTATTCCAGAGTCTCGAAGGAGATGCGGACAAGCAACGTCGCGCCCGTATCTTTCCCTTTGGGACTGAGCAACCTGACCATACACAATCCTTCCTCAAGATACTCTGTTCGAGCAACGAACACGGCCTTTCGCACGTCCCTCCTGAAAGCGATGTTCTCGTCTACAAGGATTCTATTCGGCATCGTCAGCCATAGCTTCCTCGAGCGAAGAGGAAAAGTCACGTACCGAATGAACGTCAGATCATCCTCGTCATACTCGAAGAAGAACTCTTCGTTGTACATGAAGTCAGCGCAGTGCTGGCGCTTTGAGACGTCATGACACTTGACGGTCTTGCTGCGCCACTCTTGCGTTTTACCCGTATGAAGAAGTTGAGCGCGGATATAGACGTGCAGGTTTGACTCGGCGGGAACTAGGTTCATTCGATGTCAGTACTTTCAGCAGTGGGATAGACCATTCAGAACTCACGTGAACTAAGCCCAATCACCTCCCACTTCATCCTCTCCCTCCGCGGCTTCTCCTCCCAGTTTGCGCCGGGCAATAACCTCGGCGGCTTCAACACATATCCCGGCGTGCCCACGAACATTGCCTCGTTCAATTGTGTTCCGCGATCATAGCTCTGCCAGTTCAACGCCGCGATGTGACTACCATTGCCCCAGAACTTGATAGGGTTCAAGTTCGTACTCTCAATGCGCGTGCCACGAGGGTATACGCGGCGCAGGTGACGCGAAGCGTGTTGGATCAAGGCGGGACGGCTTGTTGGGGCAAGAGAGGAGAGTGTAGATTCGGAGATGTTGATCATAACATTTGCCGGTTCGGTCGGATCTGTGTGTTCGACAATGGGGTCAGACACCCTACAGGCGACCCTAAGCCATAGAGGATAAACTACTGACCGACGTTGAACCAGCCCTTGGATGGCTTCATGCTGCGCGCATATACGCCCAGCTTCGCAAGCTGCTCCGAGATCTTTGGTGGAGCCTTATCCTTCTCAGACTTGACGACCTCTTCCTTTGCCGCCTGCTCAGCAGCCACACCCTCCTTCTCCTTCTCCTCTTCATCCTCACTTGAGCTCGAGCTGGACTCGGATGCTGGAGGCGTCTCGACTTCGTCTGCAGGTGGCGCTTGCTCGGGGTAGTACTCGACCATGACGAGGATCCTGCCCTTGAGTTCTCCGGGTGTGATATGTGCTCCGTCTTCAGTAGCCACAGCAGCGTCGACCAGCTTCTCCCCCCAGCACTCTTTCATGATCTTCACAAGCTCGACCTGCTCATCTGCGTTGACGTGACACTCCAGACTGGCAAACACCGGCCAAGATCCTTCGCGAACGCTCGTTCCTATTGTCTCGACGACCTGGCGCAACGGTACCGAGGTCGACCAAGTGTAACCGTGCGTGACGACAAGACCGGGCCAGACGTCTAGCTCGACGCATCGCGCGTGGCGCAGGAGAACGTGTGCGTAGGTCAAAGCAGAGGCTTCGCCGAGCAGTTGACGCGAGAGGAGATAGGTGTTGTGGGAAGACGATATAAAGTAGTGCGTCAGAGGATGCGAGTGGTCGGCTGGAGGCGGCACCACGACGCCCTTGCGCAGGAGATCCTGGCTAGACTAGAAATACGAGTTAGTATTAGCGTGGGTAGACACAAACAGGAACTGCGTACCTCGCCCTGCTCTTGGAGGTACTGCTCGATTTCGGGGCTCAAGCGCACGTATTTGTCCTTCGGAGGGCTGACATGGATGATCGTGTCCACGCCCTTGTCGTTCTGCAGGTGCAGCAGATCCTCAGACCATGATGCGAGGTGGCTCATATTTCAATCCAAGTAGGCTTAGAGATGTGTATTGATTCAAAGATAGCGATGTGAAGGGAGGGTGCTCGAGGAGAGATATCCGATGAGCTTGAGCGACATCCTGTGTAAATATAGGGTTAGCGAGGGTCGTCATCACCGGCGCCGGCGCGGTAGCAACAACGCCGCGGGATGTGAATCAACTTGTGGCTCTGCATGTCCAAATGGGGTAAAGTGGCTCAGGCTCAGGGGGTTTGTGTCCGCCCGCAGCACGCGAGCGCAAATACCGGTCTGCCGGGCAGCGCAAGAGCAAAGATCATCATGTGTGCGTGTGTGCTAGCTACTTGTATCCTACGACATACTCGAAAGCATAGATAAAGGCGCGGCAAAATACGAAGTCCGCGGGGTATAGGGGAAGACAACAGGTAGGCGACAAACATATCCTCCTCCATGTCCGTAAATAGTGATGCACGTCCTCATGCGCCAATCATGCCAAAGCCAAACATCCAACCAGCTATATCCCTCCACCCTCTCCTCACGCCGACCTCGCACCCAGCCCACTCCCTGCCTAGCCAGGCTACGAATCGAGCATCCGAGCCCGACAGTACCCCTAATTCCAGCGCCGAGAGCGCGCTGGCAGGCAACATGACCCTCGAACCCCTCTCCTCAGTCGGCGGCAAAGCCCTCGCAAGACGCGCGAGTAGTAACGCAGCATGCGCATGCACTACCCTCAAAAGAGCCAATGATGTCCTCGCCCGCGGGCTGAGCCCGTCATCATCCAACCCTTCCTCGTTTTCCACAAGTTCGAACGTCGTGGTCGATGTTCCCGCCTTACTACCGGTACTAGGACGTCCGATTTGGCTTGTCCGGCTAGCAATCATCCCGCTCGCCCTCTTCAGCGCCGTGTTTCGCGTTTTTCTAGGCCGTGGCCCTGTGTCGAGTTCTACCGCGTCTGCCTCGGCCCCATCGGGTACGCCCAGTTCGTCTGGTCCTTCGAGACGCACAGCACCGTCGTCTGCTGCAGACCAGTCGCGAGAGCGGTTCCATATCCCGGCACAGAGGACGCATACATCTTCATAGACTCGCCACGTGTCGGCCCAGCGGAGTTGAGGAGCCGAAGGCGGCGGAGAGGACCATTGCGAGTTTGATGGAGAAGAGGATGACGAGCTTGGGTGCGAGGGGTCCGGACAATGTGCGGAGTGGAAAGCTTCCGCGTCGAGAGACAGGATGCGTTCGAGTTCTGTCCACTGCTCAAGAGTTAGCATCTCTTCAGTCAGTGTAGATCGGTGAAGTGACATACTAATCGAACATCACTCCAAGTGAATCGTGTGGTCTGCAGCCTATGCGTCGAGCCCCTGGGCGGTGCGCCTGGAATAGGTCTTGACACGAAGAGTGCCGGTCGCGTTCCACTCTTTGGTGTCAAGTCCACGACCAAGTCGTAGTACTGTGGCCTCTCTAGGAAGAGAGCGTCTGTTGTGCACGCGATCCAACCCCTTCCTTCGCCCGTTGTCTTCTCCAACCTATCTAGATCATGCAATGTGACCATTCCAATCAGAGGTACGCCATCCTTCGCTTTAGGGGATAGCTCGAGATGGGATGGCGGGGACAGTTGCAGACGCATAGCCATGTCGGCCGCGGCCCTGCATAGAGCGCCCGCACGGGCCACAGGTGGGGCCGTGTAAAATAACACTCGTTGGCGGCCCAGAATATGCTTGTAGAGCGCAATGCTCGACGGGCCAAGTGTACGCAGAAGCGTGGGTAACGCTAGAGCCGGATCCTCCTCTCCACAGTCCCTCAGCTCCTCTTCCCACCCGTTCCACTTTCTCTCCTCGTCGGCATGCCTACGTTCCTCAAAGAACGCACGTGCAGGCTCCCATTGTGCCTCTGAAAGCGTATCCATGTCACCGTCCTCCGCTCCAGCGTAGATTGCGTCAGCTAAGCCCGATAGAGCGGCGAGGTGTCGCCATGGTCGCGGGCGGGCCGAAGGCGCCAGTAAGAGAGCCAGGGATGCAAGTCGGAAACCACGGTGTCCGTGCGCTTCGGTTGCGCGGCGGTTGAAGACGCAAATGCCTGGGTGGCCAGCATGGGTGAAGTAACTATATAGAAGTATCAAGAGTTGAACGGGGAGGAGAGCGGGAAGAACGTACATGACGTCGCGGTCGACGGTGTGCAGACCAGAGGGGAGTACGCAAAACTCAACGCCATCCAGATTCAAGTCTAGTACATGTTAGCACCGTAGCTTGCGGTAGTCGCCAGACATATATGTACCGTCATTAGCTTTGGCGGACCAGTCTACAGTGTTGCCCTGGGTAGGATGGAACGAAGCATGGAAGATCGCCACTGCGCACAGACTTGAGCCCTATTCATTCTACCCAAAGTAGCGTAGAGACATACCGACATCCTTGGGTACAGTCGAGCCCGACGCAGCTTGTTGCATTCTGCGCGGCCGCTCTTGAGGCGGGGAGCGCTGGGATGATGGTCGCGGTACCGGATCAACCTGACCGCGCGGGATCTTCGACCGAGAATCTTGCCTCCGCCCGTCACCATCTATGGCCGCGCCACAACCTCAGCAGGTCAACATCGCTGACCTCAGCCTGCAACAATTGGGCGAAGTTCGAAAACAGCTCGACGATGTGCGTCATATCATACCCTGTTTTCTGTTTGATGATGTCCTGAAAGATGTGATGGCCGTTTCGCAGGAGCTGCAACATCTTACCAGCTCGTTCGCCCAGCTCAAGCAGGTCCAGGCCAAGTTCAGGTCGTGTATCGAGAGCTGTAAAGAATTGAAACCTCAAAACGCCGGTACGTGACTTCGGTCTGAGTACTCGTGTGCTACATGCTGATGGTAGTATCCAGGCAAAACCGTGCTCGTGCCGCTCACCAACTCATTATACGTCCCTGGAAAGATGAAGGACCCAGAAACGGTGATAATCGACATCGGGACGGGATACTACGTGTCAAAAGTACGCGTTTCTTCTTATATACCCTAGATGTCTTCCATCACTCGATCGCGTGCTTACATGTCCGGTCACAGACGCGCACGGAAGCGATCAAGCACTACGAAGGCAAGATCGACTATCTACGTGGGAACCTCGAGGCGCTCCAGGCTGCTATAGAGAGGAAGCAGGATAACTTGGCATCTGTGTCTAATATTCTGCAAGCTAAGCTACAGGCTGAGGCCGCGAGCGCTAAGGGTAGTAAAGACAAAGATTGATGAGAGTTACATTTGCCCTTGCCCGTCCGCGACGGCGCATTCACGCTACCCTTGATCGCTATGCCTCATTGTCTGCGCACTGCCAGGGAACAGCCAGGGAGTAGCACGCCTCGATACTGCCATGCAACGATGGCAGCCCTACTACCAAGTAGTGCTACGCAGCCCGTCGTTCTCAGGTCTTCGAGACTTTGCCGCTTTACGGGCCGGTTAGGTTCGTGTCTCGCAGGACGAGGCGGCGCGGGTGCTGTGCGTACCGAGCTACTCACCAGGACATTTCATTAGATTGCGCCTTTCTTAAGTTCCTCCAACACGTATGCATCCAAACGCTAAACTATCGCTGCCAGTATTTTCGTCCATTGCAATTCTTCAGACCAAATTGATGCTACAACGAAGTGAACTTCATGTAGTAGACTCATCATCATCCCGGTCGTCTACTAATCGCCAGTGCGATGCCAATGACATACTTGGCTGCGAGGTCACTTGTCCGGGCGAGCTGACGATGCCTGGTGGTCGGGTTGTCACCATCGGCGCGATAGAGGGCGAAGTCGAGCGTCTTTTCCACGGCGTATGCTCGTTCGCCAGATGTCGGGTGGATGAAGATGAACCATCGACGTCTTCGGGAACTGTCATCGTGGTCGATGGAACACCGTCGTCTGCGTGTGGTCGTGATGGCGGGGTGGGATTATCCCGATCATCGACCAATCTCCAAACCGGTGGAACCACGTCCATCCCGTCTAGCGGTGCGCCTTTGCCGCTGTGAGGTTGACATAAGTCCGATCTGCCAACCACTGTCATAGAAGCACCAGGTGGACTAGAATCTACGCGCGATGCCAGGTCTCTCGCTGGCCCTACGTCGTGACCTGACACTGCTGCCTCGGGTGTTTGCATGTTCAATGAGCCTAGAGAGTGCGTAGTCGGAGCTGATGCGAGAGTTTGGGAAAGCGAGTTGACCCCGGGAGCTCGTATTACAATGGCTTCGGCCAGCGGCGGCTCAGATGCCGTGGCACCTCTGCCCTCAGATGAGTGCCCCTCCGCTACATCTCGCTTGGTCGAAAATCTCACACGCGCCTCGTCATGGGGGTGGGGGTACGTCGACGATATGGAGCCAGAGAACCGCAGCATAAGCGCGTTCGAAGAGTACTGTGCGTCCGTCTGGTAGGGAAGCAGTGTCATCCTCTCAGGATTGTATCTTGCACGTCCATATCTGAATGAGCGTCGATTCTCGTATGCGAAGCCGATGGATGTCTCAGTAGTGTCCGGATTTCGATTGATCATCACGAGCGTGTGAGGGCCTTCTTCCGGGATTGGCTGGGTCCAGATCATGACCATGCGCACATCCTCTCCAAGGCTTCCAAATACCGACGCCCAGTCCTCGCCTATCCGGGAGACATAGATGGAGAGAGACCTCATCCCGCTCGTGAGCCATTCCTCGCACAGTAATGGTTGCACGCCCTTATTCTGAAACGTCTCAGCCGCCCATCTACAGCACATCTCGAAGGTGGCCTCTGCAGGACCGAGCGACATAGGACGACGGTTATGCGCAGATGACTCCCAGAACGCGCCCGTCTTCCACGAGCTGTGTATAGCCTGTGGTTCGGGTCAGCAAGATGTCGCCATGACAGCATATGTAACAAGCCCAGTACCTCGACAAATGCATCCCAGACGGGAACAGATATGACATTGCGAAGCTGTGCAGGGAAAGCAACACGAGTACCATCCGACTCGTTCAATTGTATGGCTCGAAATGCGTTGAAGCTCTCCGAGGTAGGGGCTTGTTCGCGAGAGAGCGACAGTGCCCCATCTCGAGAGCTAGGGGGATCCGCTTGAGGATCACCCAAATCGTCTCGAGCCTCCGTCGACTCTTGCGTTATGGCCATATGTCCCGGAGTAGACCGCCCCATGCCGGTATTGTCGTCAAAAAGCGGAGGCAAAGCTGGTAATTCGGGCTCTGGCGTCGACGCGTGCGGAGTCCTCGGAGGACTGGGAAGCCTAGAAGTTGCTGTTTTACTTGTCACATCACCAGCAACAAGACCCGTGGGCTCATGAAACTGAGATCCGTAGATGAGACGGCTATCTTCAGCACGTCTGATTGTGAGATATTCGTGCAAAACCTCTCCTCGAGATGGTGTGGCACGGACCACGACCATGCGTACGCCATCTCGAAGTGTACAGAAGCTATGGGTCCAGTCTTGTCCGAGTGGAGACATCGTCACGTAGACACAGAGCGATGTCGATCCATCCTCCCACCACTCCTCACAAAGATACGGTCGAACTCCGTGCGCCTCGAACGTTCGCTTCCCCCACGCACGACAGATTTCGAACACAGCTTCAGAGGGGCTGAGGTTCAGGGAGGCCCATGATGAGTTTGAGTCCCAGCAGAAACCGGTCGACCAGGCGGTCCGTACGTCCTATGAAGTACACGGTCGTTGTGAGTACCTAGAAGGCGCACTGATGAGAGAACACAGACACTTACCTCAACGAATCTCTTCCAGACGACATCGGATCTCACGTTACGGAGTTGCGGTGGTCTGGGATGCTCTCGGTTGATGTCTGCGTCGTCTAGTGTAATCACCGGGAAAGCGTCGAAGATATTATCGGGCACCATCACCGATCTCTCGGATGCGACTTCAGTGACAGGCGAACTCGGTATTATCGGCTCGTCAGATTCAGAAAATGCGACAGTAAGCGGCTCTCCCGTATGCGGACGGCGGCGAACTGGGTAGGCCGAGTTCCGAAGAATACCAGGGAGAGGGTGTGCCTCTCGATGGTGCGGACTTCTCGCGACATAATACGTTCCAAGGGGAGGCGAAAAGGGAACATAATAGGCTGTGCCTGTTGATCTATGATTGAAAGTTCAGAGTAGATTCCATAAATGCAATCAGTACGTACTCTACTTTTGGCGTCTGTCCATAATAGGGCAGTGTGCGCTGGAGGTAGTCGCGTACGATCGGGGACACCCCGGTAGCGCCATGCGGGATGATGAGGGTGCTCCGTACACTATCCGACTCAGATGCCTCCTCTAAGCTCTTTGGGTTCATTGCTCCGCCAACGCGATCCATCTCCCTACCGTAGTGACGAAGACTGTTCAAGATCGCTAGAAGGTAGAGGAACCCAAGACCAAGTACAAAGCATATGAAGATGCGTGTACCAAGCGTGACCCCTGCAGATGTAACACCAGATTGAGAGCTTGTGCTGGATGCCGAGAACCAGACGAAGGACATGGCAGAAACCATGAAAGCGATGAGTGACCACATGAGCCAGATCAGAGGCATAGCTAAGAGCACCCAGACGTTCCAGATGGTGTTGGTCCCGGCCTTTCGCGCTTCCTGCAATGCTTTGAGTTATGCATCACACAGACAGAATAAACACCGGTACCCGAGCCCAATTGACCGCCCGGCGCAGTCGTCTCTGCATCTGACTGAAGCGCACAATGTACATGGACGAATACACGATGCTCCAGAGAGAACAGAGCAAAGATGCCAGCCCGGCTGTGCGTGTGACCGGATCATCTAAAGCCCCATCTAGGGCGAGTAAAGCTAGGATAGACCTGTAGGACTTCGCGTTAGAAAGGTCGCGGTAACAAGGCGAGCAATCTCTTACGCGGACAATAGTGCGGACACGACGGTGATCGACTTCCACTCCTCCAATAATGAGCCAACAAAACTTTCCCATGCGGTCTGGAAAGTATGTACGACTGGTGCCGTCCCGCCATGCCTGGATTGCTGTCCGACCTCGCTAGCGACATATCCGCCGGCCGTTGAGGCGTCTTTCTGCGAGCGGGGTAATACATCGGACATGGTGTAGGTAGTCTGGGTTGGATCACCTCCGAGGAAGTACGTCCTCAAGTTTGTGGCGACGTGTGGTTCGGTAAGGCGAGCAACTTTGGAGATGTTCTCAATGCGCGACGAGTATAGGAAAGGTAAGCCGAGTAAGAGCAAGGCATGTATCTTCCCAGGCGCGTCTCTGAGGAGCCTCACGACAATCTGTGTGTATAAGATAGTCCTCGTGCCCTCGGACATAATCGGTAACGCCGATCGTTGAGTGTGAACGTTGCAAGGGTGGACGAGTTCTGTGAGCGGATGGGGAGCTGAGACCTTTACCAGCGGAACCCAGCAAAGCGTGACAAGCGCACGACAACAACGCTGTTGTAGCTCGTAGCTCAGCCCATGCTGGATTCGGATTCGTCTGTAAGATCACCAAATTTGGTGCAGGGAGACGATTAATTCACAGTCACCTGTCAGTCATCTTGTGCATCGATGTTCTTCCCTGTCATTGGGCAAGGGGTTATAGTGCCTGGCATACGCAAGGCGAGCGACCTGCAGTCGGCGGATATTGATGCCCGATGATCAAAGAGAATACGTGCATTGAAAACGGCTTATAACATTGCACATCTGCGGTTCAGTACATAGTCACAGCATTAGATTTGTGCTTGCACGCTACGAGGGGCGGGCTTGGACTTTCGCTCAGCTGACGAATTTACAAGGGATGCCAGGTTATCATGTATTCATCAAACTGGAATGAATCGACACTTCCGGCATATGAAGCAAACTGGGCATGGTCATGACCTGCATGTCAATCGTCAAGGAAAAGACGTACAAGTGCAGTAGAAGACACTTACCGGGGTAAGGCGCGTTCGTCTGCAGACCGCGATAACCAACTATGCCCTTCGCCGACTGTGCTCAAGGGACAGTAGCTGCACTAGTCGATCAAACGAGACCCAGAGCGTCTGCTACGTTGCCCAGTGTGCAGCAGTTGTCGAAAGCGTCCTTTGAGCGGCGGCTTCGGTATAAGGTCGCGGAGGTCTGGTGGACTTTGCGGGAGGATTGGTCTAGTACTGCTGGCGTCCAGCATCTGAGCATGTGGCGCAGATTCCGGCCGGCGGACAAAGGACGCGCGGCGCACAAGGCGGGGTGCGTTCGTATAATTCGAAGCATACGGTGATGCGCCGACAGGGAATAGGAGGGTCGATGGGAGCATCAAGTGTGGTTGGCGAAGTCGCTAGAGCGACTGGTTGAGAGTTGCGTGCGGTAAACAAGCCGATGCTCGGTGAAATTCTGTCCGGGCGTTCGTCAGCGTCAAGGCTTTATAGGATACTGAGTGCGAGAGGTGCCTCGGGCCGAGCGCGTGTGGACAGATGATCGACGTCTATGCGATGACACGCTCTATGTACCTAGTAAGGTTGAAGACACTCACAGGGGAGGACCGGTCCTGCCATAGTTATGCATGAGGGACTCCTGAAGGGCCACCACGAGAATTCAGCGTGCTGCTGCACCAGCCAATGTCACTTGCATCTATGGAGGCCAGGCGTAGAAGCTGTGCCATGCGGGAGCGATGGTCATGGATGTCCAAATCAAGGCGCGCCTACTTCAACCTGCGGCCGGCTGCCACGGCATTGCCACGCCCTCCTGCCTTAAGCTCTTCGAGATTTGATCCTTCGCACCACACCACTGCCTGTCCAATCCAGTGGGGTCGCTGTATATGTAAGGTGCAGAACGCGCTCCATCGTTGAGGTTTTGAAATATGTTCGTCGAATTAGTATACACGACACGGCAATTGCCGGCCGCGCGTGGCTCGGGCTCCAGACTCAATCGCTGGTTGTTGTGCCTCTTGCTTCCACCCAGCAACTCGTGTAATTTTACCCTTCGGTGCCCTATCATCTCCGGCATACTCTACCTCCTTCTACTTGCATAAATATACGACGAATGACTCAAGAGGAGGCCACTGCAAGCGCTGGCGTATCTGAAGCCGAGGAGGTGGAGGCTTCCAGCGGGGAAGGGAAGAAGTTGAGCATGGAGGAGAGGCAGAAGAAGCTGGAACAACTCCGCGCGAAGATGGTGCGTTTACTCCATTAAGTAACACCCACAATATACTGATAATATTCCAGCGAAGCTCAGCGCGCGACAACCGTGCGTCTGTGGTGGAAGAGTCGACGAAACTGAAGACATCAGTCCGGGACGCGGCCAAGCTGGAGCGCCAACGGAAACTCGCCGAGACGCTCCGTTCGCAGGCTGATGCGGAGGCACGTGGGGAGGATGCTGAGCGGGCGAAGAACTGGGAGTGGACGGTGGAGGAGAACGACGAGTGGGAGAAGAAGCTGGCACGGAAGGCGAGGAGAGCGGATTTCGAGTTTCATGGTGCGCTCTATTGGATTATAATCCAGATTATCGTGCTCACCACGGGTACAGATGATGCACATGCCGCGAGGAGGAAATATAAGAAAGATATTGACCGCCTGAAGCCGGACCTGGAGGCGTACAACCGCCAAAAGGAGATCGCCCTCGGCCTCGCGCCCGGCACACTCGCAAAGGGTGGCCAGGGCTCCTCTTCCGGCGCATCATCTTCTGCCCTCTCGACCTTTGACCCGAGCGGTGGCGCTGGCCAGCTTGTGCCCTCAGATACCGCACGGCAGCTGGCGTCCGAGTCGTTGTACCGCGACGCGAACAGTCTGCTATACGCTGACAACAAGCCGAGCGAGGACGCTATTGACCGTGTGGTCTCAAAGTTGAATCTTGATGCGGACAAGAAGCGCAAGTTCTCGAGGAAGCGGGCGAACGAGGACGAGGGCGATATCACGTATATCAACGAGCGCAACAGGATATTCAACAAGAAGGTGCGCTGGCTTGTACTTTCGTGTTGCCTGCTCTGCAAGATTACTGACGCCCTTGCCTAGATTGCGAGGTACTACGACAAGTATACTACGGAGATCCGGAACAGCTTCGAGCGTGGCACTGCGCTCTAGACGTCTCATGTATCGCTATGGTCATCTCGTGTTCTCTATTTGTACTTTAGGCCACGGACATCATTCGCCGTCAACTACAGCTTTACTACCCGACGTATTTCTCCTCGCGAACACATATTGAATGGGTCCTCGGTGCCCTCTGCGCTGCGGTTCCATTTTCTTCGACTTGGCGAGTTCACTTTGAATTGAGACGGGCCTTTTCTCGCAGTGGAGGATGAAACCCAGCAATGACGTGTGGGCATTTGCAGTAAATAAGAATATAGAGGACATATGTATACAGGAGAACAAAGCCAGAGAGCGCCAGAAGTCCCAAGGACCGCGTACGTAGTACGACTGGATGCAGGATATCTGAAAGGCGGGTGTTAGTGTTCGGTCTTAGGTGGAAAGGCGAAGGCAGGATGAGGGGTTCAGTATTGCAGAATGGGATCAGCAGATGGACGAGTCCATAAGACTGTTGAGCTTGATATGTGATTTTTGGATCATCATAAGAGGGATGGGAGGGCGAGCCAGGACGGGGGGTATCGATGAAAGCTTACCTATGACCATATAGCTAGAGTAGCCTGCACACTACAGACAATACACAGTGCCGCACTCAGCACAGCATATTTGAGCTGAGGCCTCGGTAGAGATGACTAGGGGACGAGGGAGCAGGTGAAGGACAGAAGTCAAACCACCGCGTCGATTTTTTTCGACTTGAACGTCACCGGCAAACGCCGTCAGCCGCCGGTCCGAACTCCGATCATGGCGTCTCTCAAACGCAACACATCTCTCCCGCCGAACACTCCGTCTCTCTACCTTCCATCACTCATGTCCACCGCCGATCCTCCAACAATACAAACTCCAGCGCCTGCTGTACCCGTGTCTGAAGCGAAGAAGAAGAAGAAATCCCGGTCCGAGAAGCGCGCGGCGGCTGCCAAAGCTAACCCCCACGAACGAACTAAGACGGTCGTACGCCGTTTGCCGCCGAACTTGCCGGAGGATGTGTTCTGGCAGAGCGTGCAGAAGTGGGTGTCGGACGAAACTGTGGTATGGAAGAGCTTTGTGCAGGGGAAGCTGAGGAAGAAGTACGCGTTTATGATGGCATGTATGGGAGTTGTGGCGCTGATAGTGGGTTGAAGGATGAACAAGGAGAATGTGCACTCTCGGGCTTACATCGCGTTCAAGAGCGAAGACCTCGTCGCTGCTTTTAGCCGCGAGTACGATGGACATGTATTCAGGGATAAGGCTGGTGCGCTACTTTCACTCCAGTACTCTGGGATCATCTTGATGAGGCTAGTCAAGGCAACGAGGCGCAGGCCGTCGTCGAGTTTGCGCCGTTTCAGAAGATCCCGGCCCCGTCTGAGAAGGTGAAGAAGGATCATCGCATTGGCACTATCGAAGAAGGTATATGTTTGGTGTACCTGCCAATCTTTGTTACGACGCTGACATATTTGTAGATGAAGAATACCAGGCGTTCCTTAAGACCCTGGAAGAGTCTACCACGAAGGCTATGGATACCGAGACACTCCTCGAGACACTAAGTACGTTGTACAAATGCCCTTGGACTCATGTACTTCGCTAATCACTGCATGATCATAGTCGCATCAACCATCGCCGCACCCCAGCCTACTTCAACGCCCCTTCTTGACGCGCTCAAAGCCGAGAAGTCCGCTCAGAAGGATAAAGAGGCTATCCTGCGCAATCATGCGCACTACAAGGAAATCAAGAAAGACGACAAGAAGAAGGGCGCCGCTGCAGCCGCGTCTACTGCTACGGCAGCCGCCACCGCCACCACTGCACCTGGAACAAACAAGGATGCGCCGGCGACTCTTGGTAAACGTGCAGCGAAGAAGGCGGCGGCCGCGCAGAAAGCTGCCGCTGAGAAGGAGAAGGGCAAGGAGAAGGCGGCGCCTGCAGCGAGTGGAAGCGGTGCCCCGGCGAAGTCTGCGCCTCCTACACCGAAGAAGAAGGGTGCCGCTGCGGCTGCTACCACCGCCGGCACCGCCGCCCCAGCCGATTCATCGACGCCCGCAGACCCCTCTGCACCAGCTGCTGCCGCATCTACTTTGGAGCCTGCCGCACGGAGACAGCGTCCCGTCATCGCAGCTTCGTCTAGGGCTCTCGAGGCGGCATTGAGTGGCGCTGGTGTGCAGAAGAAACGCGAGCCGAAGGATAAAGGCAAAGAGAAGGAGAAGGCGGCGGATAAGGATAGCAACCCTACTACTGAGGCGTCAGAGGCGAAGAACAAACCCCGTCCGCCTACAAGTGGGAAGGTACCTGTGTCGATCGCGGCAACGCCCGCGAGTGGTGGCGGCGTATTGCCCGCACCGGGGATACTCCAGCGCGAAGCGCCGAAGGTCATTGCCAGGCCTGCTGAGCCGGCTGTGGCTACTCCCAATGAGGGCGGTGCCGCACCGTCTGCTCGTGGCGGGAAGCGTGGTGGGCGCGGAGGAGGTGGCGGTGGCGGTGGCGGACGCGGCGGTGGACGGGGAGGTGGACGTGGGAGGGGCCGGGGTGGACCACCTGCACAGGGCGATTGAGCCGCAACATATCGCGCGATCATACGCGGTTGAGGTACCCTTCTCGAAGAGGTGTGGGTCTACAGTTGCCCTCTGAAGGTTCTGGGACAAACCCAAGGTTTCACCAAAGTGGCGACTATTCCACGCGGGCAGAAGTCCCAGCGCGTCGAGAGGCTCGACTGGGCCTCATCCTGACAGCCTATGTCGACGGCCAGACTGCACCCGGCCGATAGAACTATGATGACTGGTTGCGTATTGGATCCTTACCGTAAGGCTACTGAGCGTTGTTGTATGAACTCGAGCGGATGATTTCACTTATTTGGTCAAATGGAATTGAAGGCATCAATAAGCACAGATATAGTACGAATTAGAATCAAGAAGAGTAAGACATAGCACACAGGGAAAAGACTATCATAACATCAAGAATGTACAGGGTATAAAAGCGCCACCTATCACGCTGAGAGGACGTCGGTCAGTTCACCGCCAGCAGCGCGTTCGATACCGCGCATCATAGCCTGCAACTTCTTCTCACTATCGTCCTCGCGCTGCTTCTTACGCGCACGACGAGCGCGAGTGTCTCCCTCGTCATCGTCACTACTCTCTACGCCAGGAGCCGCACGGCGCTCGGCCATGAGCTCCGCAACGAAACGAGCGATGCCTAGCTCGCCGACCTCAGCGAATGCCCGGGGGCCCCAGCGCCACTCGTACGCATCGCCCTCGTTGTCGTTCTGCGCTTGCGAGGCTGCGCCACGTCCGCGCTTGCCCGGTGCACCGCCTACGCGGGAACGGTCGAGGTATTGCCGGCGGACGAGGTCACTCAAGAATGAGTCGACGGGTGTTGTACGATGTGGCGCCGTCGCTGGAAAATCAACCACGTCGCCTTCGCGCAGGCGTAAGCGCCGAAGGGTATTACGGAGGTCGCCTGGGCTCAGTCGGTCAGAATCGAAGCTCGCAAGTGGACATGGCGAACGGCTCACCATCACTGACAACCTTTCCGTTCACGAGGATAAGTGCAAGGACGACGTGCATAACGCCGAGAGCAGCAAGGTGGTCGCCCGTGTTCCACGCGAGGATGCTCCCGTACGAGCGGGCGCCGACTTCGCCTTCGTCAGTAACGTCAGGCGCGTCGGCCATCTCGGCCTCGAGCACAGCAGCGTCGGTGTGTGCTGCGAGCTCAATCAGGCCGCCTTCAAGTGTCGAGCGCAGAATATAAGCTTTCGCGCCAGAAGCGGCCGCACCACGCTTCTTTGCGCCACCAACTCCGTCTTGAGTCTGCGATTGGGAGGCCTGCGTGCCATTTGGTTGAGACTGTGAAGGACCATCTGCGCCACGTTTGCGCTTTCCAGCATCGCCACCTCCGAGAGCGGTGTCTTGTGTTGCTGCACGGGTCTGTAGCTCGACGAGTTCCATACCGAATATTGTGCGTAGGCGTTCTTGGGCGCCGTCAAAGACATCTTTGAATCCTCCTCGCTGTGTGCCCATGACTACGCAAAGTAAGAAGCTAAACCGAGGATGTATCGGAGACCTGAGTGACGACGCGTACCCTTCTTGGAGATCTCTTCGCGCTTCAAGGGAATACGACGTTGCTCATTGAAGATCGCAAGGCGGACAAGAGCGGCGATGCGCTTTTGTAAGTCCTGAATAAGATAGGAAGATAAATTGTTAGCCGTTTGATACGCTGCCCAAGTAATACATCCACCTACACCGTCGACTTCAGGCTCGTCCTCTCCAACGTCCATGTCAACCTCCTCCTCTTCGTCCTCTTCGACGACCTCAGTGCGCCGAGAACTCCTTCGCTCAGCTTGCGACGCATTCCTTTGAGACCTGGATCCACTAGCGCGGGGAGCCATTATTCAAGTCGTGATAGTCAGTCTGATGGTGGTCCAAGACGAGACGTGTTCTGCGACGCGACTTGCCAGGACGCGGTTCCTGGGATACCGCGACGCGGTCACGGGAGCGTGGACTGCTTCTGTTGATCGCATTTTTTAGCTTGTTTCGCTCGCCGGCGATGTTGCCTCCGAGCCGTCAAAAGCTTATTCGAGGCATCCGCTGCACTATCCTGACTCCCGTGTATCTCTTATCCATCTCTAGCAGCAGTAGCGCACGTACTGGGCTGCCATACGTTGCGAGGGTAGCGATACGTTTTCCCTCCTCAGTCACTCTTCTCTGCCGGATGATCGAGCCGCGGCTTCGCTCAACCTGAATTCTGGAGCAGATATAAGCTCGTAGACCTCCTGGACCTTCTGGAATTCCAACATACGAACCGAATGCTTTGGTTATCCCGAGCGGGACCGCGGCTGGACGGCATTGATATGATTGGGATCCTCTGCGCCATCTCTGCATTTGATGTGGACCTTCGTAAGTGCGCCGCCGCAGAGATACGCCTGCATCTGAGGTCTATATCTAACGCTCTATAGCCATGAGCTCCTTATATGACAGCCTACGTCTCTGATATCTGGGGTGCATATGCTGCATCTTCTACGTATGGCCTCGGGAAATTGATACGAGCCGGAGTTGTGTACGCAACGTTATTGCAACCGGCGCGTGGCGACGGTGCCAGCGGAGTTGAATTATGGGTGCGCATGAAGTCCCCCATCCGCGCCCTGGCAATACGCGCGGACCCTCTCTCGATCGCGCGCCCGTACCGGCACAATCGCCATCTTCTCCGCGGGATAAAACGAGGCTCGACGCCCACTCATGACGAGAGCTTTTCCTTCCCTCCTTCCCCAGGTTGTCCACTCCACCCGGCGGGCTGCTCTGGCCCGATAGCTTGATGTATACTTCGCGTTAGATCTCAACCCGAGCTTGTGCTGCCGTCTATGTCTTCGAACGATACGGTCGACGGCATTCCGGTGGCTCTTCTCCCACTTCTGGAGGCGGGATGGAGCACGTTCTATATGTTCCGCGCGACTGTATACCTATCTAGTATGCGACCTCATCTGTCCATCCGATGATACTTAAGCTGACGAGTCTGCCACCCAGTCGCTAGCGTCACCTTTCTAATCTACGACCATGTCGTACGTCTACTTTCGCCGATTGCCCATTGCTCGAGCTCACTGGCCCGCAGTTAACTCTGGGGGACGAGGTCGAGTACATCTGGAAAGCTCCGAGGAATATCACCAAGTCGTTACCCTTCCTTACCAGGTAGCGCCGGTACTCGTGCTGACTGTACTTCAGATACTTGTTCTTGTTTAATCGGTACATGGTTCCCATAGTCATATGCATCTGCATGCGTGGTAAGTCGCGCTTTCCACCTATAGATGCAGTCGTCTAACTTTGCCGAAGCTTTCATCGGGGTAGAGAGTGCACCGCTCTCCAACGAAGTGTGTCCTTCCAAACAACTTGACTTAGCACAGTCACTAACCTGCCTGACAGTTGTTCGTGTCGTCGTTCCTGGATGCATGACCCTGTCACTCATTCCACACAGCTGCAAAGTCTGGTCTGCCGTGTCCATAGCTATCAGTCCGATCTCTATAGCCAACGGCTCTTGTGAGTGTTTCTCGTCCCATCAAAAACCGCGACGTCTCTCATCCTGCCCTAGTCATCATTCTGTTACGACTGTGGAACGTCTGGGATCGGCGTATGAAGCTGCTCTTGCCGACATTCGCTCTCTTCGTCATCACGCAATGCATCACTGTGGCTATGGCCGTTCGGCTGGCCATCAAAGACTACAGTACGTTCCCGTGTTTGCATTTGCAACCGGCCTTCGTTGACCGTTTGTCTACACGACAGACGCCTCGTTATACTTCGTGTACACGCACACCTGCGTCTTCCCGATGAAGATCAATTATGTCAGCCTGTGGGCACCGGCCGTATGTTTGAATCTGCTGTGCGAGTACATCTGCATCTGACGTTCCTTGTACAGGTCGGGTTTGAGGTCGTCCTCTTTGCGGTCACTTGGTGGAATGCGCTGTCGCGTCCTCGCACGAATGACGTCGCACTGGCGAGACAATTGTATTGGGACGGCTCAATCGTCTTCTTTGTGCGTCTCAGGTTCGCCTACGCGTTGAGTTCGTACTCATACCGTCATAGGTCGTGTTCACACTGAGAGTGATGAACATGGTCATCTCGATCGTTGCTCCTGTGCGTTCCCACTGTTGTATTGACAGCCCTATTACTCACTTGTCGATAGTTGAGTTTGACTATGCTCGGTCTCTAGTGAGTACCTTGTCCTCGTATCCCGCTATGCGTTACTCACGCGTTCGTGTAGCTTCGTCTGGGCCGCGAACACCGTCACGATCAGCCATCTAGTCCTTAACCTCCGCAAAGTCGCCGTCGAGCAGATAGAGGCGTCCGTGGTCGGTGTGCCCAATGGCACGCCTGCAGACTCCATCGGCTACGTCTCGCCTACTATGACGTCCTCTCGTTCATTGCGCTCACAGGAGATGCCGAGCTTGCAGTCCGGATGGGGAACGGATGTGGAGACGGGGGAGAACTACGAGTTGAGGTCGCAGATTTCGAACAAGTCGTCAACTTGAAGTCGATTTCGTCATCAGTAATGTACTATGTGACCGTTGATGTGGCCGGGCTTGATACGTCACTTTCACCCTTCGTATGGATTTCCTTACGTGAGAGGGTGCGCTGCAGATAGCTTTGCGCGAGCTACGAGATACGCTACCCGGCTCATGACGAAGACAGTGAACGGTCTTTCGTCGGGATGCCTCGTTCGTGCCTTTGCAACCTTTCAGTGTGGGTAGTTCTGACCATCTGTGATCTGTGTATGCCAACGTATGTGCTGTGCTTTTCAAATGCGCCACGATGAGCAGTTCGGTTGTCGCGGGCGAGACGCGCGATGCGCACATTCGCTCATCTTCAACGCCTCAACGACAGATTCCGTCGGCGTTGCCGCTACAGCGATAGGATACAATGACTGCCAATGAAGCAAAGTATCAGGGAGCCGTCGAGTAAATTGCAAAAGATATCAGTATCTGGTACAAACCACGTGATCAATGCGGCTCCGAAATCCGACCGAGAGCATCCGCGCTTCGCCGGTCCAGCTTCTCCCCCCTCTCACAGTACGTTATAAGATGTAGAGTAGGCCAAAAAGTGCGTCGACCGGGAGTCGAACCCGGAGCTAGGCCACACCGGAATATGGGAAGACCCAATGTTACCGCTACACCATCGACGCTCGGTTTAGATCGGCTCAGAAAACATCCTGTCCACCAATGTGTCTCCCATCCACGGTCGATGATGAACAGTTTCTAGGCCCAGCGGCAACCCAAATACAGTCGTAGATAGAGGAGTGTCGAGCTCTTTTGTTCTGCGACTCTGATACATCTGTACGCAGTCAGACTGCATCTTCTGGCCTGATCCGAGCCACGCGTATTGCGCTCAGAAGATCCTCATACGGCGACTGACTCACTTATACTTTACTACACCTATCTAAGTACGGACGGTCTCGCTTACAAAACGCCGAAGTGGTTCTGGCGGGGGTGTTGAGTAGGAATTCCTAGCGAGAAGTAAATGGCCGTCCTCTGTGATTGAAGAAGCCGGTTGAGTCGCCGAGCTGTGTCAGAGCGTCCGCTTGTGCGGCCGGACAGTTCTAGCCACAGTAGCTAGGCGAGCTCTCTAGGGTCCTGTGTTACGCATGAGGCGGCCGAATCTTTCCTTCGCACCGAGTCCTTAGCGTGCCCACGATCTGCCACGCCAAAACAGCCAGTGACAGCTGCGGCTCGAGTGAGCATTCTATGTGGCTTAGAAGTTGTCTTCGGCGGCTTGGGGCTCGTGGAGATGTAAAGGTCGCGATCATGGCTCGGGTTACAGATGCTCTGCGCGTACACTCGAGTGACTAGGATCAGTGTGATAAGCGCTTGTGGCGGGGGTATTCTGCATGATTCCAGATCGCCTGAAAGAGTAGGTCTCAAGATGACGAGAGGTCGATCGCATAAGCAATTCTTCGAGTGCCATGCCTTTTTGAGTTGACATGTGGCGGTTAGCTGCGAAGCAAAATGACAGAGATGCGAAGACTTCGTGCTCAACTTGAAGGATACTGCCGCGTTCACGACACGGCCCAGAACCAGCGGACGAGGACCGTGGAAGTGCCCGGCCCGACGGCAGAGCCGCATGCTATCCAAGGTTTGCAGAAGGCCTGTATGCCTGAGTCGATGGCTCAGTCAATACCTTCGGGGATGCGTTTGCGGCAGTAGACTCCCGCGGACGAGCGTCAATCACATCGGACGATCAACTTCAGTGTCGACTTCGTTGGCATACGTAGAGACCAACAATCGGCGGACGACAGAATATCGGTCAGTCCCCTAGGACACGGTCCCACTGCAACTGAATTGGCACGGCACAGGCGCGATTGAACTACTTGGAGTACAGAAGTTGAAACTTGATACTGTGCGAATATCACTCAAGTCGGGAGCGCATCCGACAGCGCTCCGACAAGATGGAGATGATCGGATACACCGTTACAGTCTGCTGAGTGGGACGACCCAAAAAGCTTGTAAGACTTGTAAGGAGTCGGCCGAGGGTAGCTGTGTCTGCGCAGAGCACAACAGGCTCGGAGACGACGGGAAGAGCAATTCGATTATGTCAGACTTTCCCGTCACCAAGCATCGTGCATCGTGATGACGACCGCAGGCCAGTGCGCCAAGCACTTGCCCTCACACCACCATCATGACATTATTGCTCCCACCCATCTCACCCTCGCTTGAACGAGCCCATTTACTGCCAGGATAGAAAGGCAGAGTTATGCGCGATTGGCCGTCACAATCTAAAAGGCATTACCGTGCCAAGGCCACCGCTGCATTCGTTGTTCGGTGACTCTGGCCCTAAATGCTCGAAAGCTTCAACAGCGCGTGCAACGTTTTGCGCCACAGCCTGAGAATGGAACAGCCTACCTGAGCTGGTCTCAAGTTCCCTCGCCTGGCGGCTGTCAGCGACCTCTAGCGCTTGTCGGCGGTTGTCGGGCCCCTCATTCCACAATCTGGCTCGCTCAGGTGTACCTCTTGCATTCAGCATGCAATGAACGTTCTCACTGTCATCTGAGCGCCCCGAGCTGGAGCACGACTTGCCGAAACGCTCTCACTGAGAGCTGCATGGTCGGCCGCGAGCACCGGAACGAACGATCAGGTTGCGGCTTGTTTGAAGATGGCCGCTATACTCTTGCTGATATCGACTCCGGGTATAAAGAGTCATACATGGCGACCTCGCTCATCAGTCAAACCCCGACTAATCAGCATCCTCGACACCAATCGACATGCGCTCTCTTGCATCGCTCGCCGTCATCGCTGCTCTAGGCTATGAGGCTCTCGCAACCACCGTCCAGAAGACCCTCACCATAGCTGACTCGGAATTGAACCCAGACGGCTTCTCTCGAACGTGAGTAGATTGCTCATATGATTGTACTACGAGGTATTGACCGTCGGCGTACACAGTGGTGTCACAGTGAACGGCCAATTTCCAGGCCCGGTTATCACAGGCAACGTTGTAAGTGTCTGTACTATTCCGACTGTCGACGGTCACTCAAGTATGACAGGGCGACACATTTGAGATCACCGTTGTCAACAATCTGAAGGACGAGCACCTCCACACCGTCACTACGCTAGTGAGTTAGGACAGTACTTCTATGTCCGAAGGCACGCTGACGCATTTCTTTCAAAGCATTGGCACGGACTCTTCCAAACCGACAATAACCAGATGGACGGTGTGGACACAGTGACACAGTGCCCCATCTCGCCCACGCCTGGATCCAATGCGTTCACGTATAAGTTCAACACCGGGAGCCAGGGTGAGACATCCTCCGTTTGCAAGGCCATTCGCTGCAAGCTGACCCTCTTTCTTTCTCTCAGCTGGGACGTACTGGTATCACTCGTGAGATCGCGCTCTCTCCCTGCAACTCCTCCCGCTGATGATGGCTTTCATAAGGCATTACAAGACTCAATACTGTTCGTAGCTTATAAAAAAGATGAACCCCTGCAGATTGAGGCTAATGGGTGACACAGGCGATGGGCTTCGCGGCGCCCTGGTCGTCTATGGTGTGTACCACCTCATGTCCCAACGCTCTTGATCGAGGCTGATTCTCCGCCGTCGGTAGATCCTCATGATCCCCAGAAACATCTATACGACGTGGACGACGAGTCCACGATAATCTCTCTCAGTGATTGGTACCATTTTGCATCCCCACAGGCTCCCATTATTGGTATTGTGACTTTATACACCAGCGTGGCTACGTGCTGACATAACGCCAGTATTCTTCAACTCTACTCTCATCAACGGAAAAGGCCGTTACCTAGATCCATTTGGCAAGGATCTGACTAGCGAGCTTGCTGTTGTGAATGTGAAGAAAGGCACCCGCTATCGTATGCGCCTGATCTCCATGTCTTGCGACCCGGTAAGGGCATCTCGATTTGAAGCTCTTGAGGTCACGTCTGAATTCTGCCCTGTAGAATTATACATTCAGCATCGACAAGCATCAGATGACCATCATCGAAGGTAAAACACGTTCACTTCTTGCATGTTCAATGCTCACCCTTTTTCGTGCAGTTGAAGGGACGAACGTTCAACCACTCGTAGTTGACCAAATCCAGATATTCGCCGGCCAACGCTACTCATTCGTCCTCAACGCCAATCAGCCTGTTGATAACTACTGTCGGTGGCATCGCTTCCTATTTCCACGTGTGCTCGGCTGAACACGTCATAGGGATTCGTGCTTTCCCCGACTCTGCGAGCCCCAACATGATGGCACAGACGTTTGAGCACGGTCTCAACCAGGCTATTCTCCGCTACAAAGGCGCTCGCGATATAGAACCAACGACCACCAACTCCTCGACCATGCCCCTCGTCGAGACTAACCTCCGCCCACTCACGCCTATCCCGGTACCTGGAAAGCATGCCGTTGGTGGTGCGGACTCGACCTTGACGCTCAACATTGAGTTCGTGAGTCCTATACTTCATCTTGGGCCGTGAACCTTTTGTTGACAGCAGTTTCTCACAGGACGACGCGACCGGGTTCGCCGTCAATAACGTTCCGTACACTGCACCTTCGGTCCCCATCTTACTGCAAATCCTGAGTGGCAATACGAGCGCGCAAGAGTTACTGCCGCAGGGCAGCATCTACAATCTTGATCCCAACTCAGTTGTCGACATCGTCATGCCGGGAGGTTCCCGCGGAGGGCCGGTAAGTAAGACCTCGCGCTACCTGGATACTCCAGTACTGACTTCCCGACAAGCACCCTATGCACCTTCACGGACATAGCTTCTGGGTTATTCGTAGCGCCGGGAACTCCAGCTACAACTTCGAGAACCCAATCGTTCGCGATGTCGTCTCCATCGGGAACAACCCTACGGACGACGTCACTATCCGGTTTCAAGCCAATAATCCTGGACCCTGGTTTCTCCACTGGCGAGTCCTTTACGCCTCATTGGGTTGTTCGATCTAACCTGCATATCAGCCACGTTGATTGGCACTTGAACACCGGCCTAGGCGTTGTTCTGGCCGATTCAATCACTGAGGTCGCGTCTCATGTCCGTGTGAACTGTATGCAAACTCTGCCCCCGTCGAAATGTCCTTCACTGATTGCGCCCTTCAGCGAACTGGGACGCTCTATGCCCTACCTACAACAAGTTCATTGCTACGCATGCCAACTCTCTATAGACGAAATACCGTTCTTCTGACTGTCTTTCTTGTGAAGCCACCATGCACTTGCGATATCTAGCTTCTATCCGCTTATTTTCATTGTCTTCGCTCCATTGTATGCCACTGCCCTATCTTCTGTGCAATATTTGTGTCTATGGTCCATTGTGGATGTACAATCTCTGCTATTGTTCTTGGAACGAATCCGTGATGACTATACTCAGGTTCTCCGCGTATGTCCCCGGTTCAGGTACCAGTCCATATGATCAATGCTATCAAGCGCAATAGTGAGTGAATCAGATCTCAATACGCGTCTTCAGGACCTTCTATGATTTCATGTTCGACCGGACAGCATATGATCACAGATGCAAGACTTCAAGCACGGTACACGGGCGGTACGGCCAGCGCTTGGTCGTGTACTTGAAGAATCACCTGCCAGCTGGATACATCATATGTCTGGTCAGTCAGGGCTCTATACGGCGTGTGTTCAAGACTCACTGTCCAGTGCAGACCGGAACCAGGCCAACAAGCCAGACTTGAGACGGGTGGACATCGATGCGGAGGCGCTACAATAGAAGAATTACTGATTGGCCCCGCGACTTGAAAGCACACTCACTTCGAACGCTCGACACACCCATGCGGCTACTTTCTTGACGAAGCGTCCTAGAGTCGTGCCGTTCTCGCCAGCCCTCTTATCCCATAGACAAAGCTGGTCTTCGTACATGATGAAGTCTTTCGGCTAACAGACGCTAGTGAGAATGCTGTTCCCGTAGTGGCTCTGATAACGTAGGACCACTACAGATGCAATTCTACGCACCGCGAGCACAAGTGTCGTCTTCTGGATCGAACTGAACTGCGCGAGAGTATCGTTGACGCCGAGCAATATGTCCGTGTTTCCTTGCGCGGCGCTGGCGAGGTTGATGCCTACATGCATGTACTGCGTGTCCTGGCTCCTAAGAAAGAAGATGGGCATAGAGAGGTTGCGGTAATGCGGCTCGCGCTGCGCTGCGGTCCCATCTGGACGGGGCATGTAGAGTGATTGCTGCACGACACGCCCATATGCGCCCGTATTCGGCAGATAGTCCCATAACAACGCGTCGTGAGCGTGGCTTGAACCGATATATTTGGGACAGTATCGTGCATCTAGCCTGATACTCATATCCACGCCGCCCTGAGCAAATATAGGAGAAAGACCGTGCGATGCACGATCGCCGAGAAGGCGACGAGAAAGTTCGGCAGCTCCCTCCGGGCCGAACGTCTGGTTGATGAACCCGTATGTGAGATGGGTGTCAAGCTGAGTGGCATAATGTGAGTATTATCATTATGAGAATCTGGATTGCGGCATCGTACTATATGAGACATGCTCAAGAGATTCAGTGAACCGGTTACGAGTAGTGGATGCTGCTCTGGAGGCCATCGACGACTCGAAACATATATACACGTTCACCACGGCGTGCGGTGAAGGAGGTGAGCACATATCCTCAGTAATATGAAGTGTGGCGAGAGGTAATGTCTCAGCACCGTTGGCGCTTACTGTGGTACCGCTATGTGGTGAATGCCTTGGTTGAAGCTAGGAGATTAACCCGCCACCCGACTGACTGCGGATCACCGCTTGTTGTCCGCTCGATGATGATGCTGAAGGCAACCTAGGAAGGCATCAGACGGTATCCCAATATGCCTATTGACGCGTATGCACCGTTCTATAACCACGACGTTCGTCGGCTCCGCGCCAAATCGCGATGAAACAAGCCATCAGGCGCGCGGTGCCACAAGTCGCGGACCACAGACCACTGATGGAAGCGCCGCCGTTTGCTCACTGGCACAACATCAGTCGCGGTCGTCCATTTGCATCTCGAGGAACAATCGGGAGGTCCATCTCATTGGTACGAGGTCTGCTCGTACTATGCAGCCTTCTAGTCCCGTCGCCTCCTGCTTGTCAGACCAGAAGGAAGCCATATCGGGCGAACGGCGGCTGCCATTGACAGCATCTAACATCGAGCAGCTTCCGCGAAGTCCAATAGGCAGAGAACTCTTGATCAGTAGTGGCTTGGACGGCGGAGAATATGCCAACTCGCGAAGGCGCTTCTTCAAGACAGCCGCATGAGGTGCCCGAACGAACGATCAAGATTGCGCCACGCTAGAAGATAGTGCGCGTCTACGAGCGTAGGCCACAGTCAGCGACTAGGGGTGCAGTGCGCTGATGACTGCCAATACGTTTGGGAACGACTAGGTGTCCTCGGGGAGTGTACATGTATGACGGCGGTTCGTGGTGGTTCTTTGGTGTCCGACGGAGGGCATAGGTGCGCCACGTTCTGAGAGCAGGGGTGAGAGTGATCCATCCGCTATATGGGTGCAGCACCGAGATGCCCCCGCATGCCCTGCTGGGACCGTGAGCGTCGAGGGGAGACGGTTTGCGGATTTGAGTGCATGAGCGCAGAAGCGCGGACCATGATATTTTGGGTGCTCTCTTGCTCTGCCCTGTGCCAAAAGACTCGAAAGCATCACGCCATAGCTGACCCCGTACGTTGAAATAGCAGGATAACTACTACAGCGGTGGTATCGACAACCGGCAGGGCACGTAGCAAGGGTATGCATGCGGGGCGGCCAGATGTTGCTGGTCGTTGTCATGGCGTATGTTGGCGAAGGTTGATGGGGAATCAATGGTCACTGCTATTGACAGGTTTATCTCCTTCACGTCTATGCCATGTACCGAGGGGGACAGTGGGGTAACCCGAGGTGGTGGTAGAATGCACGAAGACGGATGAGTGGCGTCGGCCCGGAGGCGGATGGGCTGCCGTAGGGTGCCGTACGGTCTGCGGCGTTTGTGGGCGCGGATCAGAGGTACGGATTGATCGACGACCCACGACCGAGCGCCCCTAAATGCCCTTTGAGGAGGGTGATCGGTACGTCGAGTGCGACGTCGTGAATATCGATGACCCACTGCAGGCCAAGGCGGTGTATGTAGGATCCGCGGCTGACTATAGGATTGAGATATACGATCTGGGCTGTGCGGACGAATATCCACAATTGATATAGGCCGAGAATATGTGGAGTGTTGATGTTGATGATGTAGTTCGAATTCGGGACGGAGGCGCGGAGAGCACAGCACGGCGCAGGCTGGCTGATCGTGGCGACTGGCTCGCTGATGGCAACAAGCGCGCACAGTATACTACCTTACATTTTACCCTGACCGTCCACGAACGTCGAGCTGCCCGACGAGCGCCATGTCTTTCCTCGCGATCCGCTCCAAGTGGAAGGCAAAGTCGAAGGCCGTTTCGCGTCGGCTGGCGCAGGCACCCACGCCCGGCCCAGCGCGTGAGCAGCCGCCTCCGAGCGCTGTCAGCACCGAGTCGTTCGAGTCGCCGTTCGTCGTCGAGATTGGCGCGTCGCCCAACCCGGACAAGTCGCCTCAGGTCGACCTCGAGCTCAGCACCGAACCACTCTTTCCGTCCGGCATCTTCGCCCGGCCAGGTTCAGTCTCGAGTGGCTCGCAAAAGCACCTGTATAATCCATGGGTGGCGAACTCTCGTAATGGGGTGGAGGAGATGGTCATAGTGGGTGGGGATGCAGCTGAACAGGTATGCACTCTCCGTTACACTGTCTGCGCCTCGCACAATTGCTTACGCGCCCAGGACGACCCCCATGCCTGGGTCGATGAGGTGCGCAGTCATGTTCAGTCATGACACAATCTGATAGCTAAAGTAAGTTCAACAGCCTGAACCTCAACGGGAAGGACAACCGTCTTCTTGGGCGAAGCGGGGAGGCAAGGCGGCACCGACGCCGCTTGTCATCCCAAACGGGAAACAGTCTCGACGCGGTTCTCGACGCGGTGGACCGCGATCAGCACACGACGACGACGCGTCGGTGATTTCGGGCATCACACTTCCGGGCGCTCTCATCGGCAACGCCTTCAGCGTCAGTGGCGCAGAGCAGAGTGCACGGCTCGATGGTCGCCTGAGCAGGCGTATCACGCGTATAGATTCGGCGACGTTACCCAGGGGTGACCATCCTCTCTTGCATCAACCTGTGGCTAGGCGCTCGAGTCTGCCCGAATTCGAGGCCGACAAGGATGCCCCTCCAGTTCCGCCACTGCCGCAGTCCGCCTCCAACCGACCTGACAGCGGCGTATTTTCCAACTCCAACAAAAGCAGCAGACGCGGCTCGCGCCAGTTGTTGCCGCCGGAGACGCCTCCCATAGCGAACGTCAATCGAACGTCGCAGCGCCTCCAGCCAGCGGAGGGTCATGCTATGCACCGAGTCTCGCGCATCTCAGAGGCGTCAACCCCTTCGGCCATCTCGCCGGCAGTGTCTTCTGCATCTCCTGATATGCGCGAACCGTCTGAGAGAGATATTGCTCTCGCCAATTCCCTCAATCGTCTGAACCGGAAACGTTCGACGAGCTCGACGAACAAACGTAAGTGTCCAATCCTTTGCACCAATATGCTACTGACAAACTCTTTCTAGCGATATACGAAACGTCACTGCGTCAGCGTTCGTCGCGTTCTGTCCAAAGCCTATTGTTGCATCCGGACAAGTTTCACTCGAAGCCCTCAACGTCGTCTCTGCCTTCAACAGCCGACGAACCCGAGTTCTCCGCGTTGCCTTCTGCGGCGATCATCGGGCGGCAAGACTCGCTCGGTCGGTTACCTGCATTTCCTGAAAGTGCACAACCGCCGGAAACGGCTGGTCAAATCACATCGCAGCTCCCGGGTGTTTCGCCAGATTCGCCAGAACCCTCTGCGCCACCGTTTACACCAGATCTCCTCGACGGCGTTCTCTCTTCCGCGGTACCCACAACTGCGCTTCAAACTCCCGGCCTACGCTATCCCGAGACACCCTCAGACTTCGCGCCAACTTCTTCGTCTCCTGGTGTATCTCGTGCCAGCAGCGCTACTCGTAGCTCCATGCGGCCTAGCCGCAGAGGAAGCACCAGGAAGAGCAAGCTCCTCCCCCGCCCAGTCAGCGCGAAGCCTTCGGCGGCATCTGTTCGTGATAGCATCGCGCGTCGTCGAAAATCGCGAGCACGTTCGCACAGTCGTGGTCCGGGCGTATCCCCTCGTGGACTCGCACCCCCGGTGGTAGCGCTGCCACCTGTGGAGCTCATGCCTACCCATGGAGGTCCTTTGGCGAGCCCCAGGGCGCGCTCGGAGCTCTTCGTTGCAGGTCATGCACGAACCGCTTCGGGTGAGAGCGTGGCTAGCTCTCGGCGCGGCCGCACACCCCCGCCCCGCCTCATTCCCAGCGTGCCACCCGCGCCGAAGAACGCGCCTCCACCGCCTCCACCCCCACGAAACGCGTCGCGTCCGGGCGGCTCGAGAGGTGGATCTCGTCAAGCGTCGCATTCCCGTCACCCAAGTCCCCAACCACCTACACGCGACGCTGTACCACCCTTGCCATTGGGAGGCGCGTCAAGTGGTACCGCGGACGACGGTTTGCCAACGCCTCCTGCATCAGCGGAGAAGACACCTACTGGACCACGTTCGCGACCAGGACAAGGCTCCTCTGTCCCACCTACTCCGCCAGCTAAAGATGTTCTGTTCAATGCGTCGAAATCCACCGCCCCTGTACACGCCTCTCAACCTGAACGTACTGCTTCGCAAGAGCTCGGGTCCGGTTTCCCCATTGCGCACCCCGCAGCCGCGTTCTGCGCTCCCGAGTCAGGCATTCCCGCAGTGGTGTCTACGCCACCACCCGCGTCGAATGTCTTGCCCGTGGCGACACCTCCTCGCACACAGACACCGACACATCTTGAGGCGCAAATCGTGACCGCGCGCCGCCCTTCTGTCGATAGTATTGCACAACGCTCGCCTCCACCCGCGTACGAGCAGACGCAGACACCACAGACACGAGGTCCGCGTCCACCACCGCTCCAGGGATCGCCGACTCCTGCACGTCGCGCTCTACTCCCGGAACAAGAGCCTATTCCCTCAACGCCACCGCACATGCGTAGCCGCTTCGATTCATCCCCTTCTCCAGGGCGTCCTGCTGCCGCGAAGACAAGCATTGATGCAACGCCGCAACGCCTGGGAACCCCGCCGCCTGGATCACAGGCGCCTTCAGCGTATCGCCGTTCAACTCAAACGCGTCCCCCTGGGCCTGTTGGTCCACGGCCGAGTGGTCCACGATCGCGTAATGCCAGCGTGAGCACGGGCCCACGTCCACAGGGCCATCTCCTCACTGCGTCTACTTCTTCTGTCTCTACGGTGTCGGCATCCATCTCTGCCTCAACTTCTACCTCCTCACTTCCCACGGCAAGCACATCGCGCTCAAGTACTACGGCCCGGCGGCCGAGTACTGCAGATACACGCGGTGGCCCCCGTTTCCAGCCCGAGCCGGTGCCCATTAGGCCCTATACACTAGAAGCTGCACAGTGGACGTTCTCAAGCCAAGAGCTGCAAGGTCTTGTCACACGGGCGATCAAACAGAGTGCAGAACCCGGCTCAGTCCGCGTTCTCCCGCTCGATGTCCTCGAGGAGCAGCTTCCGAGCGACCTTGCGAAGCTCGAGGCATACCAAACGGATTTGAAGACGAAATATCGCTTGCTCGTGCGCAAACGCAACGCGCTGCTGACTGCAGCGGGCACCAGTGGAGGAGATAATGCTCAGGCGAAGTTGGAGGATCTGCGTACGGTGACCGGGCAACTGGACGAGATCGCCGACGCAATGTACGTTGCTCGCGACCAGGCTGCGCAGCTACAGGTTCTCGCATCCAATCACGCAGGAAGTGCTCTGGCGATCGCACTGCGCAAGATCAATGCGGCCTTCCTGAAACGTACGAAGGACGTGCAGGACCTTGCGGCCCGTTGTGCGGCACTCGAGCAGGAGCGCGATGAAGCATGGCGCGCAGCCCAAGCAGTGGCCGCTGATCTTGATCAACTAAATGATACGTTGGCCGAGGGAAGCATCGCGAGCATTCCTGAGGAGGTGCGAGGCAGCAGCGAGCGCGTTGCGATGAGCAGGAAGAATAGTATGCGAGCGGCGCGCTCTGGCTTGAGGAGTCGCAGAGCGTCCAATGTGGCTCCTAGTAGCAAGCGCGCCTCGCTCACTGTGGCCAGCCCGAGTATATCCAGCCAGCGATTCAGCATGCAGAGTCGCTCGAGTGTGTATAGTCAGCAGGGACCGTTCTCCCCTGATTCGTCGCCTGCGCCGCCTGTCCCGAAAATGCCGCGATTGTCGAACTTATCGATGCATGCGGTCGCAACCCATACCTCATCCACTCCTAGTGCGTCCGCCCACGCACCGAGCGAAAGCAGTTCGCTAATAGCATCCGCAGGCGGATATAGCAACAACTCTGATCGTACGCCATCCTCAGCCGCGACGGGTGTGGAAAATACGCAGGCATTGCGCGACGTCATGCACATGCTTGGAATATCCGAGTTCCCACCTCAATCCCGTCGTCGGGCGAGCATGAGCGCCGCGCCCACACCCGCGACGCCTGCGTTTGCGTTCAACGTCGTTGGATCGCCAGTCCTGTCTCCAACCGCACCACTATCTGCGACTGCGTTACATCGTTCTCGCAGTGTAAGCGCGATGGATGCGCTAGGACCGAGCGAGCACGAGGCAGAGCGCGTCGCTGTCCTCGCTGCGCTGGACAATGGTCTCATCGACACGTAGCATCACTCATGATCGTCTCTGAGATGTCTGTCTGTATTCTTGTAATCGACCGGGGACTCGGCCTGGCGCTCCTTTTACGTCTTGTGTGTATTGCAACCCTCATTCTACTGCGACCCTCATCTTGCGTTCACTCGATATCCTTATTCAAGTTGGTTCAAACCTGATATTTGATTACCCATGTAGAATATTTCCTGGACATACATACCCTCCCTTCAACCCGCCATCAGTATCGACATAGGTGCCCTGCTTCATATAGGCCAGGTTGCCTGTCAACTTACCATTACTGTACTTTACCTTCTACTAATACACATGATCAGATATTTAACACCTATACTGTCTCAGGCCTGATGAAAACCGACATTCACACACCTGCATGAGACTTGTATGTAGGCTGCCTCAGGTACGGGTCACTGATGGGAGATTGCTGATATATTCGGGCTCAGCGTCGGCAATGTCAGAGTGAGTTGAATCCCCGATCTGACAGGTGCCAGTGATTACGATATCTATGTATTGCTGGTATGAAGACAAAGTTTATCCGACATATATTAAGCGCGACGAGCCTAGCTTGTCCTATGCGAACATGTATGGATATGGAAACAGCAGAGTTCTACAGTGCTGTACTATGTGCAATCACCAGTGTGCAGAGAGGGAGAGGTATGGTCTTTGAGTAAGAACGAACGTGAGCACGTTAGCAGAGTACGAAAGCGGCGATAACAATGGAAGTAAGGTAGCGCGGCAAATATGCAACATGCAGATTATATGGATTGTCGGAAGTGATATAAGACTTGGGTTGAAGGAGACATCCGGATGTTGAGGATACACGAAGAAACATGAAGAGCACGATATGATACAGAACAGCGAAGGGTATTTCCTGAATGAAGGATATAGATGTGACGAAGAAAACCGAAGTGAGTTGGAATAGTGTAAGAGCGTCAAGAGCGATTGTGATGAGACACGCCAGCGAAGTTCTTGAGCTTGTCGAGTACGGCAGGATCGCGCCGGCTACGCAATACCTGGTCGATGCTCTGGGGTTGGCGGAGTCGAGAAGTTCCCCTAGGAGGCGGGCCGTCATCCTCACTGTGCGGGGCTGGGCTGACTTCAGCCTTGGTGCTGGCACCAGAGAGAGAAATGCCGGATAAGCGTTTGAATACGCGGGAACTGCGCTTCTCGTCCTTCGAACGGCGCGGTTCTTCAGCCTGGGTTGGAGGCGCCAGGCGTGAAGGGGGCTCAGAGACGGGAATAGTAGGACCGGTAGGCGTTCCAGATGACGAGGAATCCTGAGCCGCGTCCTCAGTGGGCGTAACCGGAGAAGACTCCTCGATGGCACCCAGTTCGCCGTCGACAGCGTCCCTGCCAAGCACTTTATCCGCTTGCTCACGAGCCGCACGCGCGCGCTCGAGAGCGGTCGATCGCTTTCGTGCGGACATCTCGCTACCGCTCGCTTCAGAGGCGCTGGTATATGAGATGGGAGACGCCGCCGCAGCACGCATAGGTTGGTATCGCACGCCGGTGTCCGACTCGAACCCACGCCCAATCTTTTGCTCGTAAGCAGAGCGTGATGCGGCGTCCGTAGTCCCATCGCTGAGGGGTTCGTTGTCGGAGAAGGCAGTGGATGTAGGGGATGTAGGAGTCGGCCTGGCCGAGGATCCCACTCGGTCCGCCTCGTCAGCGAGCTGGCCCATGTTTGCGAAAGTGACGCTGGATCCATTAACGACAAGCCAGCGCAAGCCACGAATCTCGCGTTCGTGTCGACGTGCCGCACGCTCGAGCGCCTCGATCTTCTCCTTTAACGCGAGATTCTCGGACTGGAGGGCATAGATGTTGGCGGGTGTGGGCGCAAGAGAGGTGAAGCTGGCCTGTGTGGACTTCGCGGCGGCAGACGGGGAGGGCGAAGGTTTCTTGAGTGACGATGCCTTGCCAGATGGAGTCGCGCTGCGCGTCTTGGGTGCAGGCTTCTTATCAACGTCATCCGTGGGCCTTTTCACTCTTGAGGTAAGAGAGGCATTAGATGGGATAGAACGTAGCCCCGGGCGGGAAGATGCCGACGACACGGAAGTTGCCAGGGTTGATGGATTGGAAGAGACGCCGGACGTGAGGGAAACTGAGCTGATGGCCGACGGAGATACGCTGACGAAGGACGGAGTACGCGAAGGCACAGCAGGCGATGAGCTGGCTGGAACGGGCGGGAGATCAGGCAATGGACCACTTGGAGGGGTCTTGAGCAGTGTCGACCCTTTCAAAGACTGACGACGCGCGCTTTTGTCAACGTTTGTGGCGTCAACGGAACGGGATGCCGTTGCGCCCGCCTGAGAAATTGCATCGGGAACCTGCGATTCTGACGATGATCGGCGGCGCGTCTGTCAATGAGATAGTTGAGTAGGGTACAGGGACTTCAATCGAGGCACTGACATGAGGCGCACCCGGCGAACGGGAGGATGGAGAGGCAGGAAGGCCTGAACTTGGAGTCGTCGCCTTGGTCAGAAGCCATGAGCCGGTCTGGACTGAAGGCGAAGGGGGAGTTCCCGATGTCTGCTTCTGAGAGGGCTTGTACGCAGATGGATTGGACCGTGCGGATGGTCGCGTTAATGCCTGCCTCGAGGGCAGTCTCGTAGAGGTACCGGAGTCCGATGCGTTACCCGCCTGAGTCCCTGCATTGTCCGAAGCTCGTATCGAAGGTCGAACAGATGCGGTAGAGTCGGAGCGATGCACAGTGCCGGGCAATGTTGACTGACGGCGCGTAATGGAGGTGCTCGGTACAGAGCCGGAATTTCCTGCGGGGCTAGCACTGGCTGATCCTGACGATACAGGTAAACCTGAAGTGACAACAGACGGGTTTGGAGGTCTAAGAGACCGTCGAGTGTTCGCGGACGGCTCAGGATCGGACAGGACCTCCGCGTCTAGTTTCCGGGCGCTTTGGGTAGACGGCGTGCGACTCAAGTCGGAGCGGTTGTGTCGTAGGCGATCAAGAAAACTTGTCTTGCGCTCGCGAGGTGCCCGGGTTGCCTCCCCATCGCTGAGCGCCTGTGACGCGCGAGGAGCTGCACTCGTTCGCCGAGGAGTTGCATGGGATAGCCGGTTCGGACGCGGTGTTGCAGGGCTTTGAGTGCGTGGACCCGCGGAGCGCCCGGGCGCCTTCTCTTGTGAAGGTGTCGATACGGTAATCACCGGTCCGTCCTGTGCAGGATCCCCCACAGAGGAAGGTGCAGTCTCCTCAGACAGGCGTTGCGCGGATGCCGGCGAAGTCTGACGCGTGGAACTCGGGGTGATAGAACGAGTCGGCTTTAACGTCGCCGGAGAAGTAGAGCGCAAGTCCAAGACGACGGACTGGGAAAGCATCGATGGCGCACGAGACTGGGCCCTGCTCGAGCTCGTTACGTGCGAGTTGGTAGACTGCCGCGGACTAGCATGTGGTGAAGGTTGCGGTATGCTACTGGAAATAATGCGTCGGTTAGTGTGAACGCGCTAAGCTCAACGGCACGTGCACACACCTGCCTGAGCTCGACGAACTCTCCGCGCTATCATGCTTCTTCCGACTCAGTCCCAAGAAAGGCAGACGCCTCTTCGTCTTGGACGACGTCGGGCCGGTCTGCGGCTCCGTCACCGTTGTCGTCGACGCGTCGGCGTGTTCGCGCCAACGCAGCAACTCTGATAGTTCGGATGTCTTGGTCCGAAGCCTATGCGAGGTGCCCGTGCTGGATGTGCTGGCGCGTGGGTCCATGTTGGGCACAGCGAAAGTGAGGTAGTAGTTCAAAGGAGTGAACAGTCGTCTGTCCAGACCTTGCCGGGGACAGCAGGACAAGCAGGGACGGGAAGCCGCAACGGCGAGCGCGGGGGCACTGGATTTTGTATCATCGGCGAGGTGTCGTTATTTGTTTAGCGCAGGAGTGCCTTCACATGAGGCCGGCCCAGATTGTTGACCCGATCGAATCTCGCTCTCAACCCCGAGTCCCCGGCGTACCCCGCTGCGAATTGCCGGCTCTTTAATGAAGTCCGTCAGCGAGGTCTCCGGACCAATGTACCGCGGACTCCTTCAGCGCTCGAATACACAAGACTATGCCGCCCCAGGGCTGTGGTGGGCAGTATTCCCTGCCTGGACACTGTTTGCAGCTCTTGAGGCCGTTGCTAGGTTCCTCTCTCAGGTACCCCCTTGGCCACACCCGTTGGATGGGACCGTGGGTCAAACCTTCTTCCATACTGGTCAAGCTGTGCGTTGCCTAACTTCTAATATCCGCAACCCCCGAGCTCTGGAGATGTTCATCAGGCATCATGTTACCACCCGTATGGGCGCACTGTGGGTGTGGCAACGCTAGCTTCAGAAGTCATCGTTCTCAAGGGGCAGTATATGAGCAGGCGACGACAAGGGGCGCATTCGACTCGACGACAGAGCCACTGCGCATACGTACGGAGAAGAAGCCCGTAAGGTCCATACGCTTGTATCGCGCATCCCATTTCTGTCTTCATTACTGCTGCACGCATGGTCCTCGACTCGATAACATGAGTTGAAGGCGACTTGGTCTGCCCCATGTCGTATCGCAATCGGGTTGAGGCAATGATACCGTGGGCGAAGCCCTCTGGATTTCTTTCCCATCGCTGTTCCTGGGCGAACGGCCAAGTATCTGACTGTCAGATTATCAGTCGCTGTTGTAGCGAGTGCATGCATATGACCGGTTCTTCATGCGTCTAGATACAAGATGCCGATAGGTAGCTTAATGCATGTTTTTGCTGATTGCTCCAGTTCGCGGTATAGAAAGTCTTGGGGCTTTCGCGCTCGCCAGTCGCGAGATGTAACGGTGCGTAGTGGGCTCACGGCCTCTACAGTGCATATAACGAAGTGCAATCTACTCATGAACTGCAGCCGCAGACCTGACAAGGGGGTCTGATACGGTACCTTGGGCCCTATGTAGCGACGTACGACCCTCGACGTCTGCACTCCAGAAACAGCGGATCAGTCTGGTACGTTCTCACCTCGGAGCCGCTATCGGCCCACCATACAAAATCCCAAGCGAGGATTTTCAGGAGGGTATCCGACAATGTATAGGCCCTTGGATTCTCGAGTCACAGCTCTTTGTTGTACACCGCGCTGGGCACGCTGGTGAAGACCTGATTTGTAGTATGGATAGGATATTGGTCTCATTGCGCTGCTTCACACTGGATAACGTTGGATGTTGAAGTTGAACCACCGCATGTCACGCAGGATCCGCAGGCATTCCGTGGGACCCACAACAACTGTGGCATCTGCTTCCGTTAGCGGGTATCTAAGGATCGGCCCTACTTTTGGCTTTGCCTCCGTGAGGGTAGGTCATCGCGATATCTGTTTTCGGGACACCGAAGGAGGCTAATTGACTCCAGTTAGGCGTCTGCGAAAGAGCAAGGTGGCGAGTGCTGACTCAGATAGCACAAAAGTCGTATAAGCAAAGCCTGTACTTATGACCGATGGAGAGGCAAACACTACCGACTCGGACTGATAGCCTCGTGCTCTTGACAGCTCGCCATCATAGACACACTCTACCAGAAGATCTCGGTGCGACTGCGGTTATCTCGTCATCAACGCCCACGGCCTTGGTCTTCGGAGTCACCGTCGGAGACAGCCCCTCGGTCTCTCGGACGTCTACCATCGTCCTGCGCCACAAAAGCTCTCCATTCCCGGTCCTTTCTTCGAAGGAGGAGGATCGTATGCATCTGGCGCAGATGAACGCACTATCCTTCTACGCAGCGCATTCTTCCCGCCATCAGGCCGACTCGCAGCTTCCTAGAAGCGCATGCAAAAGCACAAGACATACGCGGGCCGATTAGCTGATATCGAGCATATGCCTCTTCTATTGTTGAGTTCGCTGACGCGGCCTACTCGTACGGTAAACTTCCAACCCTTTTTTCGGACGATCGTTTGTGAGGAAGGCGTCTGGCCGCCGGTCTCGGGACCATCTAGGAACGTCGCCGATGATGGAGGATAGAAGGGGATAGGCGGCGAGTATCAGAATGACAAAATTCCCACCCGTAGCTTAACTGTATGCTCCGCGAAGTCGAAGCCTTCATAAAGCCGAGCACAGCGCAGAAGCAAACGGGCTTTCATTGTCGGACAGAGCGCGTAGTCTTCCCGCAGCATCTTCAGCGTTCGCCGTCTTCCCCGACTCTTCTCCGCTCAGCTTGTCTGCATTCCGCCCGACGTCGCAGGATGAACTTTACGTTCAAGAACCGCTAGTCGAGGCTCAGGGATCCGGAGGTCTGATTGCCCATCCCGGCGAACTACGGGCGCGAATGAAGGGCACGGCGTTCTATGAGGTTTCTCGTACTTGGCTCTGCGCAGATCTACGGCCGGCCTAGGAGCACAGGTGCAGCGCCTCCATTCTATACGTACTGGTATCAAACGGTATTCCGCTTCAGCCGGTAAACGTGTATCGATAGTGTCGTATCTACGCTCTCCGGCGGATTCGTAGTGTATCCTGTGAGAGGGTCTGATGGTCATCGGTCGCGATCGAATATAGCCTTATAATCAAACAAAAGGAGCCGCATACCAGAAATCACTCGGGACCCTGAATGAATGCAGATAGACATTCCTATCGAATGGCTACAGAGGTGCTAAGAAGCAGTAGTAGTACGTATCAAGACCAAGGCATTGAGGACAGATGTAGGATGATGCGGAACGCAAGAAGCGGAAGGGCTCCATGTATGACAGCGATTGAATGCGAGTACGTACAGGACAGTGATGAGTGTGCAGATATTCCAGTGAGATATGAGATAAAGTGCGAGTATGATCGAGGTAACACAGGAGGGTGGAGAGCAGATGACGAGTGTGGGAGGTGTCGGCGGTCGTACAGTAGCGAGAGCAATGTGAGGGTAGCACGTGGATATAGAACCGGAACAGCAGGGTAGAGTTGAAAACACAAGCAGAAGTGAGCCAGTGCGAATCTTGGACGGGCGTAAATGAAGGATCATGGGTGTCGCGGCATGAGATGAGGTGAGATGGGCGGTAGACTTGCGCGAAATGGGCGCACACGGAGACTAGTTGTAGTCACTCATGAGCACGTCGCTCATGCCCGTATCGCTTTCGTCTGTGCTACTGGCATCACTTTCGCATTCGATGCCCAGCGGCTTTGGTGGTTCATGAGGGTCATGAACCGTCCAGATGCTTGTCTCGTTAATCCACGCGAGCGGGGAGTAGAACGCTGCGCTCGCAGCGTCGTACTTGTCGTAGGTTTGAATGGTCTTGAGCGTCGAGGCGAGTAAGTCACGGCCCTCGTCGTTCGCGCACTCCTTGATTAGTTGGCGGTAATGAGCGGGTTCCGGGCGATAGAGCCGCGGGTTGGCAATCGAGTTGGCGCGGTGACGAGCGTGCGTGAAGGAGTCGGCGAAGGGACGAATGTCGGAGAGGTAGTTCGCATCAAAGTAGCGATGACCCTTGAGTTGCTTGAGAGACCAGCGCTCGAACGGTCCAAGTTGCAGAAGCTGTAGTAGAAAGCGCGTCAATACGATGTCGAGCCCTGGTATAGACGTCAACGCACCCCGTAGATGCATTCGACTTCCTCCTTCGTGATTTCCTCGGGCAGGCCATTCTTCAGCCAAATATATCCCTCACCATCGCGCTCCGCCTTCATGTATTCGCGCAAGAGTTCGCCCTCGAACGGCGGCCAGCCAGTGGCAAGCTGGTACATCACGCATCCAAGGCCCCACCAGTCCACCTCGGGCCCGTAAGCCCCGCCCCAATATTCGAGAGCGTCCACCTCGGGTGAGCAATAGCCATCGGTGTACAGAAAATCCTTCGTATAGCGGTTTCCCACGCGGACAATCCCACTCTCGCAGATGTAGGCGCAGCCAAGGTCGCCGATGAGGGCGTCGTTGTTCGGAGTGATCAGGATGTTGGCAGGCTTGAGATCGCGGTGGATAAGGCCGATATCGTGGAGGTACTGGATTCCCAAAGCCTGTTTCGTATGTCAGCTACTGTTCTGTGTTCAGGATGAGAAATGGTTACGTACCACTTGCGCAACCCAGCGTCGCGAGTCCGCTTGGGGTACGGTGACCCCGCCGTGAACCCTGTCCCACATACTGTACTTCTGCAAATCCTATCGAAAGAGATCAGACGACAACTCGAGATGATATATCAAGACGCGACGTACGAATGCGAAGTAGACAAATTCGAAGTCCTGGAAAGCTCCATGCATCTGTAGCACAAACGGGGAAGGCGCCTTCGAAACCACCTTGTATGCCGCAATCTCGCGCTGCAGCGATCCCGCGACATACTTGTCCTCATCCGCGGCCTTCTTGTTGCAGACCTTCAGGCAAATGACACGCCCGGTCGCCCTGTCTTCATACGCCGACGTAGTGCCCGTAGCGCCCCTGTTGAGCACTGACAATTCGACGAACGGACCGGGCTGACAGCGTTGCATGGGTGGCCGAGAGGATGCGAGAGAGCCACGGCGGGCTGTGGGGGCAGTCCGCCGGGTAGAGGGCGGTGGCCTAACCGGATCGCCGGCAGACGCCTGGCGGACCTGACCGTAGGCGGTGGTATGGTTCACGATGGGCGGGGCGGGTGGCGAGCGAGGATTGGGGTGGCGCGGAAATTTGGAGGACCTCGGCGTGAAGCGAGGAGCGACAGGCGTTTTGGGGGTATCGTCGTGAACGAGGAAAAGTGTAGAGGCGTCGCTGTCAGACTCGTACACACTCGCAATGACAGCGGGCTGCTCGTGGTAGCGGTTGAGTTTGAGAGGGGAAACGGAAGTCTTGCGCTGTCTGGTGGCGGCCATTGTGGATATTGGTCGTTTGGCAATCGCCACAGCTACAGCGGAGGTAAAGCAGAAAGAACCGGGTCAACACGACGGTCGAGGTCGAAGAAAGAAACGTCGGCGAGGTGCGGCTGCTTATGTATGTGGAGAGTGTGGTTGGACACAATGTCGAACCAACGAGGGTCCATAAGCGAAGCTGATCTAAGCGATGTGGTTTTCCGTGATTGTAGTCCGGTTGACGGTCCGATAATACTTTGCCGCGTAGGATCGCACAGGCGTAGAGGTTGCGCTGGCAAGACTCCAGAAAATATAGCGCAGGTAAGCAACGGATGCCTACGGTGCTGTTAGGACTTCAACGCGCTGCTGAGACGGTGGTTAGAGCGCGTTTCCCATCGGATTGTCACAATTACGTACGATCGTGTTTCCAGTAACGTCTCGTGGACGGCGGTATACTGTTGCACGCCGCGGCCACAGCACGGACCGTGGCCCCGGCGACGCTCTTGACTCTCCTAAATGGCCCACGCCGCTTCGACTCCTTGGCTTTATGCATAGCTTCCTCCTTGCGCGCCTCACGTTCCGCCGAGGGCTGCATACTGAAGTACGCGTAGGTGACTTCCTCCAAAAGCGCATCGTCGGCAAGTACGGACTGCGCGACGGAATGCGGCCGCGCGCGTCGAGTGCGTGTATTGTGATGACGTGCGCGGGAAGTGGATGCCGCGCTCGCGCGTGCGCGCGTGCGGAATGACGAAGATCGACGTGGGACGCGGCCATCCGATCCCTCCTCTACTACGGGCGATAATTTCTGCGAGAGAGATCCATATCGATAGCTCCATGTCGAGGGTGCTGGTGAGCGGCGAGCGTTGCGGCTATGAGGACGCTCTTGGCGTCCGACCCGAAGCGTAGCGTATGCATCCGTGTACGAGTATCCCAGATTCTCCACATCGAGCACGATTGGTGCCGTGTTCTGCCTCTGCAGAGTCGGTGCAGAGGGGAAGGGCACCGAGTTTGAGGGCGCAGCGCGGACGGGCGTAGGGGAGTGCAACATCGCGATGTAGATCGATCTTGGTATCAGTACAGGTATACTGCCTTCCGCTGCTTTTGAGGGCGTCGAAGTGTACACGCAGGAGGTGGCGTGGCGACCATGAGGCTCTGCCTCGCTTTGTCCCGGAGGTGATGATGAGGTGCGTGGCTTGCCATATACGTTGTTCGGGAGGATCTTTGCGCAGCTCGTGTCTACTTGTGTCCGGAGAATACGTGTAGGGCTGTGTCTGCGGGAATGTGAGTCCTGCTCGTGATACGTACTATGTACATCGCGTGTTGGTGTTTCTCCCGAATGCTTCTCAGAGCATCACTGAGGTAAAGCATCCGCTATAGATTTTGTTCGATGTTGATATTGAACTAGGATAGTCCAGATGAGATCATTTGCTACAGGCTCCAGCAGAAGTAAGGCCTGGCGCTGGAGCTGGCTCGACTGCAGAGCGGCGCCTTGAGAGCTGGCCGTATGAGCCCCGAAGAGCCACATATATGCGTCCAAGTGCATGGAGTCTATCCACGACACCATAGGAGCAAGACTGGACGCGAATAGCACAGTCGATTACCGTCTCCGAAAACCCCCGAGCTCGTCGTAGCACGAGGCGAAGTCGCGGTTTGTCGCGGTCACGCCAGTTATCCTCGATCAATAAACGTGCCTGTGACCCGATGACGTCGCGCGTTCGGTTCCGCGCGTCCGTCGAACTTGCCACAAACCTGCGCTAAGATACGAACGTTATGACGCCGACGCCGCTCACAATCTTGCCTCCTACCCCCACCTCCCCCGTCTCGCAGCCATGCCCAGCGAGGACCTCCCCATTGACTTCAGCAACCCGGCCGTCCGGGATTATATGTCCTTGATTCGGTACGTCTGCACCGAGATGTGTATGTCTACCGAGGAGCTGAAGGAGAACATAGGTTGCAAGTTTTGACTCCGCTGTCGCTTCTCATCAACATTGTGACTGTTGCGATATGTTCGCTCGTCATCACCCCGGGCGTCGGTGCGTTCCCTCTGACGTGTTGCTGACGCAGTGCTCAGTCGAAGTATAGGCGAAATAACGAAATGGCATCCCGCGGCGCTGTCACCGCACACTTGGGTCATCGGCATCTACATACTTGCTATTTACATCTTGCAAGTCGGTTACTGCGTCATACTCGTGTTTGTGCGCAAACCTGAGACCAAGGTGTGCCTCTCTTGTTCGCAGTGGTACTTGCGATCGATGATTAACCATCTTGTTTTGCAGGCGACGGTAGTGAAGGGCGTTGGGCTTGCACTGGTACTATCGAATTGGGTCATGGCTTTCTGGTCTATTGCATGGGTAAGCGACTTCTGCCAAAACTGAGCCGTACGCTTACCTCGTTCTTAGGTATTGCAAGGCTTCATCATATCTACGATACTTCTCGGCCTTCTCGTCCTCATCTTATTTTACGCCAACCTTGTCCTCATCATCTATCACGAGCCGACATTCAAGCGTCCTCTGGATATAGCGTTCATTCATGCGCCCATCCGTCTCTTCTTCATCCTACCCTTCGGTGTGCTGTTCTGGTACTCTCTTTCGTGAGCACAATTCGTCTGTCTTCATCTATGGCCATTTTGCTCATACGCCTTCAGGATCGCTCTCGGAGTTGGTCAGGATCCCGCTCACCGCGACAACTACACTATCTGGCAATGGCCGGCATTTGGCATCCTCTTAGGGGTCAACGCCGTCGGGATGCTCATCATCGCCGTCCGGCGCGATATCGTCTGGACCGTGGGTGCAGCATGGATCAACGTCTCGCTGTGGTCCACGAGCTACAAGCCCACACCTGTCTTTGTACGCATGCCCTTCCCACTATTCCTAACTGTGGACTCTGAACTGACATGGGGATTTGTAGATCACTGCAATCATCTTCACGATTTTGCACCCTATCACCCTCGTCGTGTCGACACTCTACCATACGTTCTTCAAGAAGCAGCGTGAGGGCAGGATACGGCTTGAGGAGGAAGATGATGTTTTGCGTGCGCAGCTTCGAGCGGAGCAGAATGGTAGCAATGAAGTGGGAGCTGATTGGAATTGAGCGCTGGGAGCCCTTCACGATGTCACGATCTAGCATGACTCCATCTACTGTATACGTCCATGCGACTCTGTATCACTTTTCGTACGACTCGCTTGTCTCCCTAGTACAATCTACTGCACACGTCTTTGGCAGGATTGATCGTGTATGGGACCTACAAATGGCCTCCCAGCCTCCCGGGCATCATGCGCTCGAATTTACGACTCGCGTCTAGATTAGATCCTCGGCTCGTCCAACACCACGATCACTGCTATTCAGCCGCCCCCTCCTTTATCCCACACCCTCATGTCGTCAACATTGAACATTAAGATCGAGTTCGGCGGCGGCCTCGAGCTCCTCTTCACCAACGAACGAACGCACAAGATCGCGCTCCCCGCCCACATTCCTGCCTCTTCGCCCGCTGCCACAGCCGATGCGCCTGACGCGCCGGCGAACATCACTTTCCTGATCTATTGGCTCAAGGAGAATTTATTGAAGGAACGTGCGGAGCTGTTTGAGGAGAACGGGACTGTGTGCGTGCTATTTGCTTGTGAAGCTCAGGCAAAGAGGCTGACGTCAGTATAGAAGGCCGGGCATTCTGGTGTTGGTCAATGATACGGACTGGGAGCTGGAGGGCGAGGGCGACTACGAATTGAAGGATGGCGACGAGGTCGTGTTCATCTCGACGCTTCATGGAGGCTGAACATCTCGAGGAAAACAGTATGACCGTAATTTGTTTCTGCACCAATGAGGCCCTCTGACTTCTCATCATAGGTACGGCATGCGGAAGACAGCCTGTCATCCCTATATGTACATGATGGGATCGCCGTGATGGAAGCCTGTCAAGCAATGGTCTACGACTCAGATCAACTTGCAGAGAAGGGCACGCCGAGCGGGGATGTATACGATACGAATAAAGTGGTGGTAGTGTACAATGGAAAACGGAAGACATGTCATTACTTTGAGCCCCATCCCCACCAAGATGATGAACTAGGTGTCGAACTCGAGCTCGCCGCGCCGGGTGCTGCAGCACCCTCGGCCGCTCCGGTAGCCGCCTCGACGGCAGCTTCCTTCTTGTCCGCAAACGTCTTCTTCTTCAACACGATCTTCGCCGGCCTCGCGGCCCTGTCCACGGCCTCGGCCTCCTCCGCTTCCCGCATCCTGGCCTCAAAGTCCGCCCTGTCCTCGTCATGCTTCCGCTGCGCCGCCGCCGCAAGTTCCTCGCGAGTCGGCGGCTTGTGCGTGCTGAACGTGACAGTGCCCGCACAGATGGCTACGATAGTCAACCCCTGCGCCACTACACGGACTCGTAGCCATTTGTTGAACGAGCTGGACTTCCCCTTGCGCATCTGGATCATGGCCATAGTGAGAGCTGCGGTTGTAGCTACCGCGCCTATGTGAGGTATTAGATAGTTGTCCAATACCCGTACACACTATGAGCATACCTATGGGGACCAAAGGTTCTTCCTTCAACTTCCGCAACGCCTTCTCCTTGTACGATTCCGCGAATGGTGTATCCATCGTTAGGAGATTATAGACGCGAGGGCCGAAGCAGGAGAGTAGAGCAAGACCGTTGGGATTATAGCCTTATTGGCGTATTACGAGTAAGCCAAGTGTAGTATTCCTTCTGTGAATCCGCGCTACGTTTAGCGGCTCGTTTGCACGCCAGGAGAGTAAGGGAGCAAGTGGTCCGACGAAGAGACGCGTTCGGCTGGGATCGCGCCGCGAAGCTGGTGCACATGCTCCGTCATACCTACAAACGCGTACACGTGAGCTCTCCTGTAGAGTAGCACCGTGTCACTCGACTTCTGTAGTTGCAGCAGCCCCGGTGCGATTGGCGGCGGGGTCACAACAAGAAATGCGTACTCTGAGGCGAAGTCTGGCGTGGAGACTGAGCAACATCCAAACCCGCGGTCAACACAATTCGCAAAAGTGCGTTCGTCGCGTCACGAAAATCCGAACGCCTTTCGCCCCCTTCGGGGTGGCATACGAAAAAATTGGAACGATACAGAGAAGATTAGCATGGCCCCTGCACAAGGATGACACGCTTCTCCAGAGTGGTAGACCTACGGGTCTCAATATTTATTTTGTCTCTGCCGTCTTTCTTCTTATTGCTGCTCGCTAACGAGTGCAGGACGAATTATGGCGTGAGTCGTATGGGTTCGGGCGACGGGGTGCATTAGGATTGAAATTTGAGCTCGTGCGATACTGTCAAGCTGTATGTCTGAACATCGTACTTTGCCCAAGTACATAACTATATAGAGGAAGGCTACATTGGTTCGACTACGGTTCACATCCCAGTCACATTCGTGTCCTCTTCTTCCCCTGCCCTTCGGCGACCTCCTTTAGCCCCCACATGTCGTACATGAGCGAGCCTGCAATCCTTCAGTGTCTCGTCCCAAAATGAGATGGTGTACGTTAGACGTACGACGAGCCACCGCGGGACAAATGCCTGTACGACCCATGCCAGAGTCGACCGAGCGCCGATGTACAAGTATCTGCTTGTCTTGCGCCGGGTGACTTCTCTGACCAGACGCCGCGCGTAATCTCTAGCCTGCGTACGGCCTTGACCCTGCGATGACGAGGTATGAGTGACTGTTTCTGGAAGCAATCGAGGGTACGTGAAAGGCGTACCACCCCATTCTGGTAGGCGTCCTTTTGTGCTTGCGCTCCTGATGTGTACAGCGACCCAGGTCTGAGGTTGAGTGCGCCTTCCTCCGAGGTGCTACTGTCCCGGTTCTTCGAGTTGGCGGTAGCTCCCGTTATGACCTGACTCTAATTAGCGCGGAGGTCCTTCGTGTATACCACATGTGACGCATACCGTCGTCACTGATATACTACACCGCAGGTAGAGAATGTCAGTGGTAGACCAAAGACCTAACAGGAATCGACCCACTTGAATGGCATAAGCTCGATCCTCAACACGTCGCCATAGTAGTTCAACGCAGACTTGGCCGCGCCATACATGCTGACGTACGGGACGGGAATTGCACTCGCCGTCGTGCTGATGTTGACGATATGGCCGGCAGAGCTTCGCATGAGCAAGGGAGTGAATGCTTCGACCATTCGCACAGCGCCCCAGAAGTTCAGCTCGAAATCTTGTTTGGCACGTTCGATATCGATTTCAGCTGCGGGTGTGAGGTTGGCTGCGGAGAAGGCGTTCAGAAACTGGCGCGTGTCTGTGAGTACCCGAGTACTCCACCTGTGCCGCCACTGTAGTGTGTTTCAGGTTACCCGTCTCGAGGAAGATCATATAGATCTAGCTCACGCGTTGTTGACCAGGAATTCGAGTCTCCCACCGGTCAGGTTCTCGATCTCCGCCTTGGCCTTGATGATACTATCATGGTTGCACACATCGAGCTGGACGGTATCAATAAGCCCGTTCTTTGCGAGGTCTGGCATAGTGGCGATGTTGCGAGAGGTAGCGATAACACGAAAGCCTGAGACGCTTGAGTTTCTATACGGCAATCGAAGGAAAAGGAGCGTACCTTTGGAGCAAAACTCAAGCGCCAGAGCATGGCCAATGGAGCCTGTAGTACAGCCGGTGATCAGCACATTCTTCTTCTCGGTGTGTTTAGAGGCCATATTGAGAGTATGTCTGATAGTATGGAGCGGCACTCACTCTATTGGCTATATAGTGTCTCGCCCGCGAGTGCGTGGAAGGGCGGCAGCTTACGCGTCGACACAGTACCCACCTCCATTGGTTTGTAGATAGTCAGCGACATGAGGAAATACTCGGATATGCGTCGGGTTTAGCACAGCAAGTCGCAGATTACCCCTTTTGGAAGCAGCCGCGTCCATAGTTGATTGGACGTTCAGACAGAATTGTATCGGCCATGAATGTGTTGCTTGTCGAGTGACAAGCTGCGCACATTGCATTTCATGTGAAGAATTCGTGGTGAGAGACCAGCAAAACATATAGTCTGAAGGGATGTACATGACTCCGCGCGTACAGCGATGTTGAGATAGCAGGATACAGGGCGTACTAGGTGATCTTCTTCATCTCGATGTCCTGTCCACGAGTGACCTTGTTCAATCCCCACATGTTAATCATGATAGAGAGCTACCAGGTATTCAACGCCTTGGACAGGGGTGAAGAAGAGGTTCACGTACCGTAAGCCATCGCGGGAAGAAGACCTGCATGAGCCAAGCAAAGAACGTTCGATGCCCGATGTACAGCCACTTCTTGGGCTTGCGTTGGGTAACTTCGTTTACAAACTTGCGCGCGTATGTCTCAGCTGTCATCCGACTTTGCGCCTACAGATGCCCAAGAAAGTCAGCGACGGTCGTTTGTGCGGGCAGATGAGGGACTTTCCGATTCCTTCTCAACAGCCTTCCTGTGCGCCTGCAGCCCGGAGGAGTAGAGGGAACCGGGCTTCAGGTTAAGCACGAAGTCTTCGGCGTCTCGATTCCTGGAGTTAGTGATCGAGCCTGTCACGACCTATGAAGCATGTGAGCATCTGATGAGACCCAGGTAATAGAATATGTATACCGTGGTCACGGATATACTACACAGGACGATACGGTCAGTATAGGCGCTTCGGAACTATGGCGACAGTAGCCTACTTGAAAGGAGCCAACTCAACCCTGAGCACGTCGCCGTAGTGATTCAAGGCCGCCTTGGCCGAGCCATACATGCTCAAATACGGGATGGGTAGTGTGCCTCCCGCACTACTGACATTGACGATGTGCCCTTCGTTGCCTCGCATGAGAAGAGGCGTAAAGGCCTTGACCATGCGCACGGCGCCCCAGAAGTTCAAGTCCAATTGTTGTTTAGCGCGCTCAAGATCTATCTCGACTGCTGGAGATATCTCGGCTGTGGAGTGTCACTGTGAGCCGGTATCGTACGGATGCGAGAGCGCTTTCACCTGCGCCGCCACTTGTAGGCTGGGTATCAGCGATGCCATCGGTGAGCATACCGCGACATCACGCTCACGCGTTGTTGATGAGGAAGTCAAGCTTCCCATCCGTCAGGTCCTCGATTTCCGCCTGCGCCTTGGCTATGCTCTCCTCATTACAGACGTCCAGCTGGATCGTCTCTATGAGCTTGTGTTCCACAAGGTCGGGCATGGTTGCGAGGTTGCGAGAGGTCGCAATCACGTAAAAGCCTAGTGTGTGAAGAGATCGACAGTAGACGAGCGAATGAGACGTCCGAATGCGCAGACAAGACACATCTTGAGTTGGAGGATCGTAAAGTTCGTGGTGAACAATCAGGCTGACCTTGTAACTGGAATTCTAGCGCCAAAGCATGTCCGATCGAGCCAGTCGTACAGCCAGTAATCAATACACTCTTCTTCTCGTACTCCTCTGAGGCCATGGTGGTGGTGAGAAGACAAGATGTTCACTCCGTCACCAGCCGTCACCTCGTGTGCTACAACGGCCCACGGGCACTGCGGGCAGCTCGGGCATCAATTAACGCTAAATGAACCACGCGTGACGTCACGTTCAACTAGCCAGGGCGGCACCCTCTTTGCTGATTGCCGACAGAAAAATCTGTTGAGCCACACACGCAGTACGAAGGCCAGCGCGAGGCTGACAATGCGTAATATCCGTAGTGGGGGTTGGCAGAAGTGTGCTGCTGCACCAAGGCCCGCCACGTTGGTAGCGCATGTTTCGAGGGAGGGGACGCGTCGAAACGCACAGTGTCCTTTGACCGTGACGAGGCCGAGGATAAGGGACGCACCGATGAGCACACTCTCGGCAAACGCATCTTCGACCGCGACGTCCATGATCAGACGGCTCTCTGTCTTCAAGGGCAAGTCCCCTTCCACGCCTACCGGCCCTTCCGCTGGCGCCGCACCTGGTGCTCGCGACCTGGCTCAGTTTCTCGACTATCAGAAAGTCAGCTACCGACGCGCGGTGGAACAGCACCAGGCCAGACAATGGTCTGTGGTCATGGGCAACGAGGCCGGCGGTAGGTGCTTTGAAGGACTCCGTGTACAGATCAAACTGACGCTGTCTATAGACCTCGACTCGCTTGCGTCTGCCATCGCCTACGCGTGGTACGCAACCAATCATCTCCAACAACTCACAGTGCCTCTCGTTCAAATTGACCGGGAAGACTTTGCACTTCGCGCCGAGAACCTGCACGCCCTCGAGAGCGCAGGCATCGATCCTACCATCTTGCTCACAGCCGATGAAATTCCGGCACCTTCAGGCGAAACGTACGCGCTCGTGGACCATAACAAACTCGACAGTCGCTTCGCACTCGTCTCCTTCCCTGCTGCATCTGGATCCAGTCTCAGTCACGGGAGTAACCATTCTACGCCCGGCAGCCCCATCAGCGCCGAATCCAAAGTTGTCGCCATCGTCGACCATCATGCGGACGAAGGAGTGCACCTCGATGCAAACCCCCGGATCGTAGAGCAGTCTGGCTCATGCGCGTCTCTCGTCACACGCCTATTCTCCTCTATCCCCAACTATACCATTCCTCCTGAACTCGCAGTGCTGCTGCTCTCCGCGATCACGATTGACACCAACGGATTGAAGGAAGGCGGCAAAGCGGTTCAAGTCGACCGCGATGCAGCAGATTGGCTCCTCCCTCAGGCCAATCTCGACGCTTCGACTTCTTTCGCATCGAAGGATAAGGATTCGTATCGAGCCCTGCGCGACCTCAACGATACCCTGCAGTCGAAGAAGAACGACGTCGCCCATCTTGACACCCGCGACCTTCTTCGACGCGATTACAAGGAGTACACGTTTGCTCCTGCCTGGGCACCTGACAAAACCCTCCGCGCCGGGCTTGCGACTGTACCTCGTGGGCTGAAAGGATGGCTCGCCGATCTTCGTCCTTCGTCCGCTGGTACCAACGCGAAGGGCAAGGATAAGAGCAGTCCTGACTTCTGGGACGCTTGTGCATCGTATATGGACGAGCGTGAACTTGACGTATTGGGTGTCCTCACGAGCTGGCGCGACGATGGCAGGATCGGAAGTCGCGGGAAGCACCGGCGAGAGCAAGCATGGCTCTTGCGCACTGCGTCGGAATCAGACGAGTTACCGCGCAGACTCTGGGCGGGGCTCGAGGAAAGCAAGGCGTTGAAATTGAAGAGGAAGGACGGGAAGCGTTATGCCTGGTACAAAGACGGTTGGGTGGCAAGGGTGTACGAGCAGGGTGATGCTAGCGCTACGCGCAAGGCTACTGCACCGCTGCTGAGAGACATTGTGGAGGGACGAAAGGCTGGACTCTGAATCAACCAGGATACCTCCCGCATTGCTTCAAGATGGATTACCAGTGCTGGCTTCACTTCGTATAATCAAACTATAGACTAAATATCTCTCCTCAACCTATTCCTTTGTTCCAAACACAGTACGATATGGTAATAAATAATGGCACCACAAACTTCCCGTACCTAGCGGGATACATACAAGAGCATCGCACCACCAGTCATCCATGGTTCAGGCAGGGCTTGTCGCCACAGAAGCAGGCTTATCAAACTCGTACTCGAGGTCACAGTTGATAAGGAGGGCTTCACGCGCTTGCTCGTCGCGGTCTTCTTCGATGTTGTTCACAACGATGAGGGTGATCGCGAAACAGAGGGTGACTGTACAAGTATCAGAACGCGTGCCTCCTATCACTGGACCTGAAACGTACCAATAGAAGTGGCGAGCAGAAGCGTTTCGAAGAAGTTGGTTTGGTTCATCAGCTTCTGGCAGTCTGCGAATATCATCAGAGATCAATTCAGACGTAGAATGGGACATCAAGATGGGGACGCACAGGCAGTAGCATCCATCTCGCTCATTTGGTCGGCCATCGCCGGTCCCCAGACGCCCAACCTCTCTTCCATCTTTTCACCGGAGGCAAGAGCCACGCACTCGCCCAGCACATCAGCGCCGAGGGCGGCCCGCACTACGGTACGGAGGGCCGAACCGAATACGATTGCGAGGGCCGCGGAGAGTGAAAGCATCAGGTCGGCGTTCATCGACCGGAGGTGAGGGGGCAGCAAAAGCGCCGTAAGCTGCGTAAGGATACCGATGGTGTAGAGAGCGCCTAGGAAGAGGGAGAGGGAAGCGCGAGGTGCGGAGTTGTTCAGGGCATCAAGGACGAGTGAGCGAAGGAGAGTGGCCTGTTCTACGCGTTAGACCGTTTCGACTCTGGGACGTATGAAGGCTCGGGACGTACCGAGAGGGCGAGGTTCCACAGACCGAGGATCTTCTTCGCCTTGTCCTTCAGCGACGCGCGGTTCGAGTGGCGCGCACATGCCTTGAAGACGGCAGCTGTATGTGCAGCGTCAGAACCAGCAACATAGCGTGAGATTGGGCTCGAAACCACTCACGAGCACCGCCGATAGAGCTCATGCTTGCAAACATGATGATAAGTAGTGAGAACGAAAGAGTGTGGGGATGGCGAGAGCCGGGTTCAGAGAGACAAGAGTCAGGACAACCGTAAGGATGACCGGTAACGAGCGCGCCACCGACAACGACGACAACGGGGTCAGAGAAAGAGACAACTGCGCCTTTGAACAGAATGGTCTTTATACTTAGAACGTGCTATATTGTATTGCCATCAACTCCTCACATCAACAGGACAACAAGGAAGCCCTGCAAACCCGATTATTCTTGATCGTTACCAGCGCGGCGGTAAGCGGGTTCGTATCCGCAGGTTTCCCTGGTTGCTACGCGCTGTGATGTCTACTCTTTCGGAGCAACATCTGAAGTGCCCTCTCCCGCGATGATATAGCGGCGGCGTCGATCGGCATCTCTCGTCCATTGTGATTCATTGATACGTTCTCAGCGGGTTCAGGGAAGGACCCCGGCGTGGTGAGAGGACCCTTCGGATACACGACCTAGATGAGGGAGCGCGCCACATCAGACGAACGCAAAGGGCTAGCACGAGTGCGTAGTGCGCCCAAACGATGCTCGTCGAAGTCAGAGGAAGACGACACGCATGCGGATGTCTGTGAGAGAGCGCGAAGAAGATTTGCGGCATTCGGTCGGGAACCCGTGCGCTCATATACTGAGCATGTATCGGTACATACGACTTGGACGGAGATCAGACATGAGAGAACCACGCCTACTGCTAGACGTAGAAGCAACGCAAGAGCTACCTATTGCCAATTTCCACAGCCGGTGGCGTACGTTCCAAAAACTCCGTCGGCCCTCCGCCCCGACCCCTGAGTCAAAGATCCTGCCTTCGAGTTGAGGAAAGCAGTTCTCCTTGCTTGTTGTACCGCCTTCCAACTTCCAGCCATCTCGAGGTCTGAAGAAACACGGTACACCGCTACTCCTCTACCGACCCGTGCATCATAATCCGATAAAATGTATCTCCGCGCCGTTCACGCCGAAGGTCATCTACCGACGCTCCGCTCACTCGTCCGCACCCAGCCTCTCGGCATCTTCACGACAGTAATCGCCGGATCTTCTCAGTTCCCGCTACTACAAAGCACCCACATCCCGTTCGTTCTCGATGTCGCCGACGAGTCGTCTGAGACTGAACTCGGCACCCTACGCGGGCACATGGCGCGCGCCAATCCTCATTCGAAGGCGATGATCGAGAACTTGAGCGGGAAAAGTGAGGCGTCGCAAGTGTTGGAGAACGAAGTCATGGTGCTATTCAACGGACCCGTCCACCACTACGTCACGCCCAAGTTCTACACCGAGACTAAACCCTCGACGGGCAAGGTCGTGCCAACATGGAATTACGCTGCGGTGGAGGTGCGGGGGCGAGCGCGAGTGTACTTCGATAGTAAGAGCGGGACGGCAGGGGCATTCTTGGACAGGCAGGTCCGGGCATTGACAGGCCTCTGCGAGAAAGGCATCATGGGATACGAGAGGCCTTGGAGTGTGGAGGATTCGCCGGCGAGCTATGTGGAGATACTGAAGAAAGCGATCATAGGGATAGAGATTGAGATCACAAGTATGGTGGGGAAATGGAAGATGAACCAGGAATTGTCGGACGGCGATAGGAAGGGTGTGGTTGGAGGCTTCGAGGTGCTGGGTGGGGATGCGGGAGTGTGTATGGCACAAATAATACAGGAGAGGGCGGAGATCGCAGAGAGGAAGAAGGCAGAGAAGAAGTGACCCAACGGCAAGCCGGGTTTGCTACAGAGCGCCGCAAGGGATTCCTTCAGAGAGAATTGCATAATTGGGAAACCATTGTGTACGCATATTATTGGTTAAGCGGCTGTAGCCTCAAAGCAAGCTAAACATAGGGATGTACGATCTGCAATATATTCATGAGTATATCAGACACGAGTGCAGGGCAAGGGTGAAGGGACGCACATTGAGGCGTCAAGAACAAGATGTCCAGTCAGCGGGTTCAACGTTCAGTTCTGACCCCGGTCGTGAACCACCTTCTGGTCCTCCACTGCGAGCTTCCATCCACCATATAACCGGTTGACGATAGCACTGCGCTTCAGGACTTGCAGGTCCTTCTTCGCATCCGAGTACATCGCCTTTAAACGTTCCGGGTCGCTCTCCTCCTAAAATCCGGTCAAGCTGATATCTTTTCACATCGACTGTGCTTACACACCTGGAATTGCCTGAACGTGCTCTTGGTTCTCCTCAAGAAATACTCGCGGAAGTTATACGAGCTGAATGAGTTGGCAGTGTGCAAAGTTGCCGAATAGAGCGAGAGGATAGACCGTCTGGAGGGAGGAAGAGCCATGGCTGGTGAGTGTACGAAGCAAGCTGCCGCGTCTCCGCGTTGACACACCTGCGCGGTGCCGACGGCGGAATGCGGGCTCGTGATCGCGATCGGCGTGTGACGACATCGTGTGCGCCGCGCTCGAGACGTGTTCGACTCTGACCACGACGAGCATCGGGCCAAGCATACAGTACGCACGCGCTTTAGACTAGAGCAGCGCATAGAGCCGACATGCACCTCTCTCATTACTTAGAGATGTTCGAATACATTGACTATCAGACGATATACACCGGTACGTGTCCTGGCTCATGTATCTGCCTCAAATGTCAAACCGACCCATGCACAATGAACAGTGGGCAAACGCTGGTTCATCTTTGGAACTGCATCAGCTTTCCCTACGACATTATTCTACGATGCGCCATTTGGCCGCTTCTCCACACCCGATAGCGCTCTCGCCCTCGATGGGATCAAGAGCTGGATGTTCATGGAACTTGTATCTCCCGCGACCTTCCTTATTACTGCAGCAATACACCCATTCTCGTCAAAATCCTTCCCGGTACCCCTCGTCAACTCGAGCACAATCGAACCACAAGCGCTACTCACCGGACTCTACCTCATTCACTACCTTAATCGTGCCATTCTCTCGCCTCTTCGCACGCCTTCCCGCTCTAAATCGCACGTCGCCGTAACCGCCGCAGCGTCTTGCTTCAACGTTTTCAACGGCTTCTTGCTTGGCGCATACCTGTCGTCGAGCAGGACCGCCGCCTACCTCTCCAACGCATACAGTTCCCCTCGCTTCTGGATCGGCATCCTTCTCTGGATAGTTGGCCTCGCAGGGAATATCGCACACGACGAGATCCTATTGAATATCCGACGCAAGTCCAAGGCGAAAGGAAAAGAGAAGGAGGGCAGCAGACCAGGCGAACACTATGCCATTCCCCAAGGCGGACTTTACCGCTACATATCATACCCGAACTACTTCTGCGAGTGGGTCGAGTGGATCGGCTTCGCTCTTGCTGCATCGCCCCCACCCAGCGCGAATGCTCTGCCGACGCTCCACACAGTGATTACAGCTGTCAGGGAGAGTCCACTAGCAGGCTTAGCAAGAGTCTTCACACCGTTCGTCGACTCGTTCAGTGCACCATGGGCTTTCATGTTCGCGGAGGTTGCTGTGATGATGCCGCGTGCCATCCGGGGGCACCAATGGTACCACGACCGCTTCAATGGTACCTATCCGCGCGAGAGGCGGGTCGTGATACCATTCCTGTTTTAAGTTGGTGCGTTCGTTTGCCCATCAGATGGGCAAAACTCTGACCAATCCTCACAGGGAAGGGTATAATAAAGTAGAATACCGATGTACTAACGTTTATGCATATTGTATGGCGTCTGTGGCGCTAGTGCATGACCGAGCCTCCCAGGGAAATGATCTCATTTGACAGTGTCAGCGATTGATGTGTGAACAAGCTGTCACGAACGGACGTGCCAGCAGCGTTCCGATCGACGCATTTGCCCTTACACTTCGTACCACCATCATGGCTTCAAAGGGACAAGGCAATAAAACAGTCCTCATTACTGGATGCACAACTGGCTCGATCGGACACGCGCTGTCATTGGAGTTCCAACGGCAAGGTAAGCTTCCTTCTCCAACGCTGCCCTGTGCGAGTCTAACTTGACCCGTTTTCTCCTCAACCAGGCTTCAACGTCATCGCGACCTCGCGCAATCTAGCGACCATGCAGGACCTCGTTCAACACAAGCTGATCGAGGCTGTTCGGCTTGATGTCTGTAGCGAAGTCAGCATAGCCGCTGCTGTGAAGGAAGTCGCGCAACTCACCGGCGGAAGGCTTGATTATCTTGTCAACAATGCGTGAGTGACAGTGCTTGCCCCGTCCTATTCAACCACTAATGAGCTCTCTTCAGCGGAGGAGATGGTACATGAAGTTCTGCGCGAGCCAAATAGCTGTTATTGAACGCTTTCATAGCTTCCCCAGCACCTGCTACCGAGGTTGACATCGAGCGTGCCAAGCAAATATTTGACCTGAATTTCTGGGGCGCCGTATGCGTGATCAAAGCGTTCACTCCGCTACTCATCCGGAGTCGTTCTGGAGGTCGCATCATCAATATAAGCAGTGCCGCAGGCACTCTGCCTATCCCGTACCTCAGCATGTACGGCGCCTCGAAGGCGGCGCTCAATCACTATAGTGACGTCCTGAGGGCTGAACTCGTCCCGTTCAAGTACGTCTGATGTTGTTTAGCATTATAGCGGCTGACGTAGACATTCACAGTATATCGGTCACAATTGTGTGTAAAGTGGCGATGGACGTAGTCTGACTAGTACTAACGTCATTAGGTCGTGACGGGTGCCATCGCCAATTCAAAGAACAAAGGACAAGGGGAGGACTTCGTACTTCGAATTGAGCCCGACTCTCTCTACGCCTGGGCGTCGCAAATACATGCTCGCGCACATGCGAAGAGCGTAAGTTGATTCCCCAGGTTGTTCGCATCAGTCGCAGGCCCGGGGGGTCCTGACATCATATCGTCATTCTAGGTCGAAACCCGGATGACAGCGCAAGAGTACGCTCGCCAACTCGTTCACCATGCTACCCAGCGCAGGCCGAAGAAATGCCTGTACATTGGCCACCAGACGTTCTTTGCGTGGCTGATGGAGGCCTACTTTCCCCGCTGGTTGACTGTGCGACCCTTCCTCTTGTTTATCACGATCATACGCGATCTGATGCCGAACCTCGCTAGCTATCTATTATGATCAAACTATGGGGACTGGGCCCAGTCGCGACTCAGCACGACAGTTGATTGAACTCGGCGGCGTGAGATGGATGCAAGGCAGTTATAGCAATCATTCGTTACTTGTCCTAGACACCGATCCAGATATAAGATGCGAGCGAAGTCGTGACGTGACGCGTGTCAACGCCCGCTCATGTGCGTGGAACCGGCAGTAGCTCCAGTCGGTTGCCTCTCACCACCATTATGGCTTCAGGTAAAGGGAGCGTCCTGATTACTGGTTGTACGACCGGATCCATAGGACATGCATTGGCTCTGGAATTCCAAGTGCAAGGTTCGCTCGCGAATGACCATTCCATCGCACACCATGTGTGCGAGAGCCAGGCTGACCACTAGCGCGCAAACGTTGTTTTACAGGTTATTATGTCATCGCCACGTCCCGCAAGTTGGAAACCATGCAAGATCTCGTTCAGAGCAACGGAATTGAGACTGTATCGCTTGACGTATGCAGCGAAGATAGCATCGCTAGAGCAAAGAAACAGATTGAGGTGTTGACGGCTGGGAAGCTCGATTACCTGGTCAACAACGCGTGGGTGACGCTTCTTCGCTCACTCTCCCAGGCTCCCGCTAACTCAACTTGTGCAGTGGAGGCGACGGTATGCCTACTTCTACTTGCATTCAGCGCAGCTATTGTTGAAGGCGCCCAAGCTGGACCTGCCCCTGCACTCGAAATGGACATTCCTCGCGCGCAGCGTACCTTCGATCTTAACTTCTGGGGCACCGTGCGTATGGTGAAAGCTTTTACCCCTCTGCTCATGCGCAGCGGTGCGGGCCACATCGTGAACATCAGTAGTGTCACGGGCATAATTCCCATCCCGTACCTGAGCGTGTATGGATCGGCGAAGGCGGCGCTGAACCAGTACTCCGATGTACTACGGGTTGAGCTAACACCCTTCAAGTGCGACTGCATGAGTTTCCTCTCTTCCATCAATGTTGATATCCGTGCACAGCATCTCAGTGACAGCCGTACGATGTCTTGAAGTCGGGTCGTCTAAGAAGCCTGGTCTTACTAACCACTTGTAGGTGATAACGGGCTCCATCAGCAACTCAAAGAATAGGACGACCGACGACTTTGTGCTCAAACTCGAGCCTAACTCGCCTTACGATTTCGCAAAAGCAGCACATAGAGAGGCTGCTGAGAAGAACGTAAGCCCTCTCTGGGAGTCCCTACGTCATTAACATCAGGGTTCACCCGAACATTATTCTCTAGGCCGGAGAAAAGGGTCAGATGCCTGCAGCAGAATATGCGCGGCGAGTCGTACGGCACGTCACGCCCGGGTAAGTCACGGTCGCCCTATACACCATAGTCAAGCCACTCAAGACCGTCACATCCCACATGTCTAGTCACATCAAGCCGCACAAGTGGCTGTATGTGGGGCCGATCATATTCTTCGCCTGGCTTATGCAGGTCTTCTTCCCTCGTTGGGTCACGGTGATTTCACGTTCTACTTTACTGGGCTACATATATGCTTACACACTGGACAGGAATGGATCATGACGAGCATGTGGGGGCTGGACAAGCCTACTGGTGTGAGTAGCACCAAGCAGAGGAGGAAGAGGGCTTGAACGCGAGCGCTCTTCTCGATATTGACCGTTCAAGCATTCTGCGTGTTCTCTGATGATGTTCGAAAGCATCGATCAATACCCAAGTCTCAGTATCGGCTGCCATCTACCAGCAGATACCTGTACAGCACCGACTATGTAGAGTGTACCCATCCATCTTTCATCGACATACCAGGTGCTATCACCACCTTGGTCAATCCTTAGCGACGGCGCCTTCTGTGAATGTGATCGTCATCATCAGAACCATAGCATGGCTATATGCGATGGTCTCGTACCATCAGAAACTTCTTCATGAACAGTCCGATGTGGTGAGCAAAGCGACCAATGGTGTGTGGCTCCTTCGACACTCTGGTCTCCGATTGCTTCAGAAAGTCGCTGTGTCCAGGCCACTGCGAGGTCATGAGTCGCGACACTCTTGGTACAACATGCATACGTACCTGTACAACAAAGTGCGTCGTACTCACTCCACGGATGGCCTCCAGAATCATGTCTTCGCCACGTATACCGGGTTTGGCAGAGGCTGCCGCGGCGCCAACACTCACTCCCAGACCTCCCTGTCGGTTCTGAAAGAAGATCGGCATGTTGAGGCGCGTCTTTAGTGGTATCGGGTTGCGCAAGATGTTGAGCTGCTGAGGAACTATGATGCTTGTCGGAGAATCGACGAGGAAGTCGATAAGCCAGAACGGCTTTCCGTTCGGATCTGTTGTGTATGGAAGGCAAGGCGGCGAGTCGTATAGCGTGCGCGAGTAGACGAGGAACATATTGCCGCATGTTCGAACCTCTGGGCGATGATCTCCAAGCTTCTGGATGCGGAGGCGATTGCAAAAGTAATCTTCAATCCCTTCTGGCGTCAAGGTATAGGCGAGGTGGCCATCAGCCCACAAGCTCTGTCAAACGGTGAGCCAACTCGAAGCGGGAAGAACGCAATACACTACGCACTCTCATGTCCATGTTGATAGTCGTAAGGAAGTGCAAGAGGATGTCCTCGTAAGCGTAGGTGAAATCGAAGTGTGGCACCGAGGGTGTGGGAGGGTAAAGCTCAGTGTATACTCTCTCGGCCCCAGTCACCCAAGGCGGGATTATATGCGAAGCATGTCGCGGCATCCGAGTACGACAGTAAAGGTATGCAGTGATTGATTTGCTACAAGTGGCGAGCGTGAACAAACGATTGACACTTGCTTTGTTTACAAGCGATGGGCCTTGTATATGAAGGGGGTGCCACACACCGGCGAACACGGCCTCCGAGTCCGCCACTGGCAACGTCTCCCGGTCTCGGGCGCGGCGCAGTCAGAAGGTGAGCGTACGATGTGAAGGTGTGCCACGGATTGACATGCGACCTCATAGGATGGCTGCGGCTGGTGGTGAGGCCCCGCAACAGGGTGTGCCACAGGAGTCCAGACGAAGCATGAATCTAGCGCCCATCGTCCCGGCGCAATCGCGCCGAGAGTGGCAACTAAGCGTTTACGCACCAAAGCTTATCTCGTCGTTCGGGCCGTTCTTGAGTCATCGCAGCTAATGCATGCACTTGCATAGAGATACAAGAACTCTGTGTGGCGACTGTAGCGTCGCAGCCCATTTCCTCTTCAAAATGTGGCTGCTGGCTGCTTCGTGCGGAAGAACTCAACTGCGCACGAAGATCAGTCCAAGGGGCCGTATCCCATACGGATCGCACGCACCTTACCGGGCGCTCTCTTTGCTGGCGGAGTTGCAATCCCGAAGATTGCGAAGCCTGGGCATGGGTGACCCGCGACCAGGATATCGGCCTCATCGTTGAGGCGAGGCCATACCGCTGCGTGAAATCATCGATATCGGCGACTCCAATGGGGATATATCCTTGACAGAAGAGGCATATCTACACGAGGACGCACCCGTGGACACACCGAAGTGGTCGAGATTGCTTGCAGGGTGCAGGGTGTGCGAAGAAGCCGCCCTCAAAAGTCATCTCGCATGAGGCGTTCACTCAAACATGGTATGGTATACAAGTCAATACAACCATCGCTGCACAAGAAAGTCAGTCCATAGGGTAACAAACGGAATCAAGCCGAAGGAAAAGCAACAAGGATTATCTACGCTTCAACACGCCTGATGGTGCGACGCTCGCGCTCGCCAACTACCTTCACCAAGCCCTCATTCTCCAGCGCGGTGATTACTTGCTTGAACTCATTTGCGTCAACGTTGATACTGCTTTGGTTCGCGAGCTGCGTAACAGCGTCCGCCCAGCGCACGCCACGAGTCCCACCATTGGCAGCGAGCATATCCAGTAGCGCCTTGCGCATATCGTCGCGCAGCCTGCGCTGCTGTGCACCCGTACCGGTATTGAGCATGCCCATATCGATCTTGCCAGTCGTAGGGTCCAGCGCCGAGGTACGGATGGCATCACGCATCAGCCGGTATGACTCCTGTACGTCTTCCAGCTCAACTGTCGGTGAGAACCGCATGCGTGCGTGCGCCTCGGACAAACGAATCATGGATTCGAGTTGCCGTGTCGTCGCCGTGATACGTTTCTCGGCTGCACGCGGGTCCGCGCCCACGCTTCGTAGCTTGACGTAGCACTTCACCAGTTCTTCTCCGGCCTCCTCGGAGATTGTTGGATGGATACGCGAGCGAGCGTAGGTGATATATGCTGACAGCTCTTTCAAGGGCTGTCAAACGTGGATTAATGAAGGCTTGAGCGCATCGGCGACTTCACATACCAGAACGTCCTGGCCACCAGTATCCGGCATATCCTCAAGATAGAGTCCAACCATATGTTGAGCTAGCCTGCGGTCTGTGACCTCATCGACCTGATCGAGGACCAGGTATAGGAGGTCGAAACGCGAGATCAGGGTCGGCGGCAGGTCGATGTTCCGAGTGACGGGCAGGTTGACATCATATCGCGAACCGACTGGGTTGGCAGCGGCCAATATCGAAGTACGCGCATTCAATGTCGTGATGATCCCGGCCTTCGCGATAGATACCGTCTGCTGCTCCTGAAGGCGAGTTAGCGAGATGAGACGAGCAAATACACGTCGGCGCTTACCATGACTTCGTGGAGAACACTCCGTGTCGCCTCGGACATCTTATCGAACTCATCGATACAACAGACACCACCATCCGAGAGAACAAGGGCGCCACTGAGTGCGTGATTAACTGCGGGAAAAGGCCAGTGAGCATTGCGCGTACCTCTCAAGCACTAGCTGTTTAGTATCCGGGTCGCGGGTGACATACGCGGTCAGACCGACCGCAGAAGAGCCCTTGCCTGAGGTGTACACCCCACGCGGCGCAAGCTTGTGAACATGCTAATACAACAGTTAGTAGGCATTGATGGAAAGATGCGGGTTCTCTCACATGGAGAAGCTGTGACTTTGATGTACCGGGATCGCCGACAAGCAGAACGTTGATGTCGCCACGATAACGGGGACCGCCACCGCCGCCTCCACGAGCGATGCTCTTGTTGGTGCCACCGAAGAGCTGCAGCAGGATACCTTTCTTAACATCATCCATGGACCATACGCTAGGGGAGAGTGAACGCGAGAGCAGATCGTAGATATCGGGTCGCTGGCTGAGTTCCACAAGCCTCGCCTCCAGCTCTTCGCGGCGAGTGCCCTGACCATCACGCTCCTCCTCCTCGTCGAAGCCTCCGACACCGCCGACACCCGGCATGCGGTCACCCAAGGTCGGTCGAGTGGACTTATCGAATCCAAGGCGATCGTCGTGGCCAATGCGAAGGTGTACAACGTCAAGATAAGTCCGGAACAAGCTCTTGATGGTGCGCTGGCGAGGGTTGACGCGAACAGGCACGGAACGGAAGACGCCGGTGACGATGAGGCGGTCACCAGGCTTGCTCACGTCGACGAGCTCGTCGTATACGCTGAGTGTGACGGTGTGCGGTGTCTGACCATCGGGAACGGCGTCTGGCGTCTCTTGCAGGCGGATAACTTGGCGATCCGCGTATTCACAGCGGTTGTGTATGAGGGACATCGTGCCGACGGCTTGGCATGCCTCAGCGGCACATGCGCTGGGTTCTTCGATCTTGCCGCGGTCGATTTCGACTTGTACGGTGTGGTTGCAGTTTGTGCAACGGAAGAAGGCTTGCTTCATGTCCGGGATGACCGGTGTTGCGCGGATAACAAGACCTTTGATGCAAACGAGCTTGTCCGTGTCTAGATCATCGCTATCAGTGAGTATCCTCTCATGGGATTCAGAGTCTTACCGCCGGGATTGAGACTGCGCATGTTGACTGAAGGCAGACCAAAGGGTCTGACCTTGTACACGAGCGCGCCGATGTCTCTCAAGTCCTCCTGCGCATCCGCCTCGGTATAGCCGTCGCGGCCGGAAAGCAGGTCAGCCTGCGTGACTTCCTCCATATGCTCCTTAAGCATCTGATCCATAAGAGGTATAATCTCCTGCGGCCACTTGATGATGTGGCTGTGAAGCTTCTTCGAGGGAGGGAACGCAAGTAAATTGACGATATCGAGGTTCAGGTTCGTCTCGCCGGTCTGGCGCATGCGACGCATGTACGACTCGTACAAGACCTCCTCTCCTTCCTCAGGTGACGAGAAAGGTCGGGTAGGGAGGCCAAGGGCGCGATCGTGCGCGACTCGATATTTGCGTTTGAAACCACGCAAGAACTCGCGGAACAGCTTCATCGACTCGAAGATATTGATGGTTGTACCCCAGATCGCGCGGATTTCGTCAGGCTCGTCGGTAGGTTCACCCGCCTCTGTGAGTTGGGGTTGGTCCGTCTCCATAAACGGATTGTCAGATGAGGGAGGCGGGCGGCTGGCCCCATCTCGACGAGGAGAGTGTACGGCCTGGAGACGAGCGGGAGACATGTCGATTGTCGGATGGATATCGCCACGACGGCTTCCGATAGCACGAGTTCGGGTTGGTACCGCCGGACTCCTACAAACAAAAAGTCAAATCTGGGTCCAGTATTAAGGCACATAGTTAACTTACGACGGGAATTCGAGTGGCTCAGAGCCGGCATCTGAGCTCGGCCCGTTGAAGTTTAGACCCTGGACTCGACTTGCAGGTGGGCGCCTGACAGGCGTCTTGGTCGGGGAAGAGTAGTTGACTGGACTAGATGATCGCGCTATGAGAGGAATCAATATCAATGTATCGATCACTATTGGGTAAAAATATACTCACCAGCCTGCGGGGTGCGTCGTGGTGTCCGCGATTCAAGACCCAAGTTTCGCCGCGCAACCACCGATCCGGCGGGTGTTCCTGCTGCAGATGGCGTACCCGCAAGAAATAAGGGATCGGCGCCGCGTCGCGAGGGAGTCTGCTGAGCCTGGGAACCTTGTGGTGTGCCTGCCGCCGATGGCGTTCCAGGCGAAAAGAGTTGTTGCCTCGGTCCACGCGACGGCGTCTGCTGTGGCCGAGAAGCCGACCGCGTGGTGCGGGTCGAGCGAGGTGTACCATTCTGAGTACCATCGTCCGATGGAAAATCGAGAGGTGGAGAAGACATGTTTTCGATCCCGATCGAGGCTGCTCGTCGTCGTCGAGAACCAACGTCGTGAACACGCGGAGGCGCGCGCTTCGTCACGGTTTGCTTTGTGACCTCACGCGTATCCTTGTCACACTTTTTCCATAAATGTGTTTAAATTCAATATTCAATTGAGAGTCGGATGATCCTGTGTACACTATGTATCGCTTGATATATACTCTCATTCCTTTTAATACTCACATACGAGAGAAGACTACTGAGTCTCAGGGCCTGTTCGTCTTAACGGGCTAGCGTTTTGGGAGTACCATCTCTCTGACCGCATCACGCCGCGTCAGCAAGAGTATCCGCAGATAGTCGTGAGCATCCACAGACGCACCATCAAATCCTGAAGCGTTGACATCGAGATGTTAGTGATGTAGGCTCTTCAGCGCCGGAGATAAAGTTTTAATCGGCTGCCAGACGATAGCGCTACCCGGCGTGATGTCAAGAAATTTGCCTCCAGGGACTTCATACCTGGCACGAGGTCAGCCACGAAGGCCAGTTATCCTGAGAACAGATGCGGCTGCCCAAAGCATCCTGAGCAGCAACAGGGAAGAACGCAAAGATACTGCGCAAAAGTTCAGGCGGAAGCGAGACGACAGGATTGCAAGCATTAGCTGCGCGTCTGGATTCTAGGTCTATGCAAGTGTGGAGCTATTACAGCTTCTGCGTGTGAGTCATAGAGATAACCAAGATGGTTCGAGATCGACCTAGTTCGAGCAAGTATTTGCGTGGTAGAGAGCGATCGGAGTGCTTCGTGGGCGCAGTCTTCGCGATGGCGCCGCCGCGAAGCTGGGTTATCGCAGAAGGATGGCGAGAGTGTGACTGTAGTTCCGCAGCTTGGTCCGTCGTTGTATATGGCAGGTATGGATCTGGAGCAGGTCGGAATGCTGCTCGTCTGGGAGACGAGGATCTCGGCGTGGTGGTTGCGCAGAGATAACCCCAACCGGTCCGTGTTCACGTTCAGACTTGAGAATGTGACGTCACGCGCGCCCACTTGAACGTTCGACATCCGACTTTTGCTACGTTGAACCGCGACCACCACCTCGGATCGTGGCCAAACTCTCCCAACCAACTTGAGACATAGCTGCGCATAGGCTTTTGTTTGGGAGTTTACTTTCGGGCTGGATACATCATGCTGCGCTACTACATCTGGCTCAACGCGACGATACGGTATCTTTAGTCGCCGCTGGGTATTCGAATACGCCGGCCAAACGAAGTGCTTGCTGGTATAAACACTGTGAAAGGTCCCTTTCTTCCTAGATACGTCCGATGGCGTGTGATGGGCAGTCTATTACCGCGATAGGGCGCTCATTCGGGGAGAACAAGGTGATATGCTCCCTGGTGCACAATCGTGCAGGGTAGGTGTTATTTCGACTCCATCCTTGTCGACTTCGCCAGGTAGCCGGACTGTGCCACTGCGGTGAGACGGCTGCGCCGTATCTCGGTGCCACCACGACAGGAATCTATGTGGCGTGTAGAATCTTGTGAACCCCTCGAGGCGACAGCAGATCCTTGTTGCGCGGTCGCTCAGAGGCTCGGACCACTGGAGGTGTTCTTGGAGGTATAAGAGTTTGCGTTGGCTGCATCTTTGAACGGCAGCAACACTCGAACTTGACTTCTCCCACATAAATGTCTTGTCAGAACTCGGTAAGCCCAACAGCTCTTGAATGGAGAGCATTGCTCATTCCTGGGATAGAGCCCTTATATATTCGTCGATGGCATATTGGCCTTGACCATGGGTCCGGACTCAGCGCAGGTGTACCACTCGACGCTGTGGCGACTCGGCGACCCGCAGGTTCTTTCGACACAGTGCAGAGTCTATAATGGTCTCTTCATCATTCCTTGTGCGGCTGGTGTTGCTAGTTCTGCGCCAAGAATCACTTTGGCCGGGCACGACTATCATATCGTTGACTACATCCACACCGCGCTCGGAAGGACGTCGCGTGTTCTTTGCCAGGGTGTCTACCGCCCCAAAACCGTATCGACTGCCTCGCAGCGAGAAGGTCTTCTGGCCCCGATCTTTTTCACTGTCGGGGGACGCTTGGGCATCACATTGGAGGATGCAGCCAGGAAGAATACCAACATTCTTGACAACGCCGTATTTCACGCTCCGATGAGGAATAAGTCGACTGGCTACCTCTGCATCCACGTCAGTAGAAGTTCAGCTCCGCATGTTGGCCACTCACTTACACTCCTTATGTTCGCTAGTGGCCAGGATACCAGCTCCACGATGCCCAGGTTGAATTGAAAGACTCGAAACGACAACCTATCACGATTGGTAAACTGGCGCAGCGCGTCGCTAACTTTATAGATACTTTCGTCGGAGACCGCGAAGTATGTGTTTCTGTTGGCCAGTTTACATTGCATACTGACGCCTCATATGGTTATCCCAGAAGGGGGCCGTTGAAGACAGGAACTCGAGAAGTGACGACCTGTGGCAGTGGCCGCAAGTCACACCGTACATCCGTTCACGCATCACCCTCTTAGGAGTGGCTCACGTTTCTACCGGCCATTGGCAGGTGCTCGTTAGTATCAGCGGGGCGTGAATAGCGTCATGCCTGTGTCGTCGATGGGCATTGGGCACACGACTGCGACGGGGATCAGGGTGGCTCCTCTGCGTAGAATCACTACCATCCCGCTCTTCATCTTAGACATAGACGTGTAGATCCAACGGCGAAGTGCTTGTAGCTGTATGAATGTAATGCTGGCACCATGTCAAGTAATGCCGTGGACAGTACTTAGGAGCTTACGAGACCGTCTTGACGTTACCCCTTATTTAGGGTTAGCACGCTAGCTCCGGCGCCCATAGCCGCGTCGTTCTCTCCGCACGTTCGTCACCCTCGGCCAATTCTGTCGCATCTTTATTGGTTGCCCCTTTCGCTTGCCAACCGCAAATTGGATTGCCTTCTTGACATAGGCATCATGATGGCTCATTGTGCTCAATAACTCGCTGCTTCGGCTGCCTCGCTGTCGAGCTGTGGGTCCAGTGTTTCCAGCCCTTTTGCCTGCCCTAGTGCCTGCAGGATCCCGTAAAACTCAATACGGCGCACATGCGCGGAGGAACGCCCTGAAATGTCTCGCCGAGGGCTTACTGATGACTTCGCGCATCCTGTGCTGGTACATCGCGTGGGAAACCCATGATACAGCCCCGCGCACGTTCTTCTCGACTGGTCGTGTGCGTGCATTCGAGTGCCGCACACGAGCATCTTTCGCTATCAACCTCTCTCTCTCTCTGTGAGTCTCCCTTAGCTTTTACCGTCATTCGTATCTCTGACCATGCAGAACAGCCCCGACTCTGCAATCACTCCTGCCGTCTACGCCGCCAGCGTCAACCCCCCTCGTCGCGCGAAGCGAGTGCGTACGGACGAGTTACGGCCTCTTGCGCCAGCGTCAGGAACTAGCATGAGTGCGCATCTGGATCTAGGCGCCGACCAAGACTTCGACGGGGACGACATGGACGACGATGACGAGGTGCAGGCTGACGAGGATGTCGTGCCACCTCCTCGCCGCCGCGGCCGTAAGCCCTCGACCGTCTCACGAGCCGCGCGCGAGAGCCAACGGCGGCAAAATCACTCCCGCATCGAGAAGGCTCGCCGCACGAAGATCAATGACGCGCTGACCGCTCTCCGCCGTCTAGTGCCCGGCCCGGTCGAGGACGAAGAGGAAGAGCTGGACACGAACGGGAAGAAGCGCCGACAGGAGAAGGAGTTCAAGCTCGAGGTGCTCGAGCGCACTGTGATCTACGTACAAGAGCTTCAGGAACGTGTGCGCGTACTCGAGGCGGGTTCCGCCAGTCCCGCAAAGTCTAACTC